CACCGTCTAATACTATGTTCATTATACTACAACACAGCTATTGCTTTTTTTTCAATTATAATACACCGTTAGCATTTGCTCAAAGTCTTGCCTATGTTCACAGAGCTAGTAACTGGCAGTAGTAAAACCTTTGAACTTCATATTACATGATCCATGACCCCATTATGTTAAAAATAGAGCAATTAGCCATAAAAGCCCCAATTTCTCATTTTTTAAGCAAACTACCTTACCAAGTGTTGGGGGGATATATATATAAACATACACATATATACACACATATATGAACACTCATGTATATATATATATATGTGTTATATGCCAAAGGCATATAGAAACTCATATACAGGCTTTTATTTGAATGAAGAGAAACTTACTTTCTTTCACTTATTCCTTTATTTTTTTAATCTTTATTGTATTTTTTTCCGTTACCATTTAGTCCCCTTATACTCCCCTCCCCTCAGCAATCACCACACTGTTGTCCATGTCTATGAGTCCTTTTTCCTTTTTGCTTATATTTGCTCAATTTTTAAATCCAAACTTACATTCCTGAAGCTTTAATAATTTCACCAATATTATGGACCCTAAATACATAAGAAAATCAGTAACACCAAAACTGAAAAACCAAAAATTGAACTGTATTTTCTAAGAGATGGTTACTTTTGGTTTCCTCAAATACAGGCAGAAAGTAAAACTATTTTGTATTTTCATAAGAATATTTCCTTAAATAATAATTGACTACTAACCCAAAAGCGATCAGTTTTGGATACACTGCAAAACAGGTTCTGCTATCAGGCAACTGGGCAGGACCCAGAAGCAGGAGAGCACAGCTGTGCGCGTTCAAGGTCACCCCTAGGATTCACTTGTGGGGAAAGGTAAACACCCCACCCTCACGGGTTAAAACTCATCAGGCAGCGGTCTCTACAGGAGACCATGCAACACCAATGAGCACACAGAGTACTGTCATGGGGCACAACCAGGAGAAAAAAATACTTTTTTTAAAGAATAGCAGAAATACAAAGAAGAAAGAAAGAAAAAAAAGGGTTTAAAAAAGGCAAAAAGAAAAATATAGCAGAAGGAATTACATTTCTCCAAATTCAAGCTATAGTGTTAGCCAAAAGTCCTGATTCACACTAGGTTACTGTAATGGTATAAAATAACCACTGATTTCCTACCCTTTAAAGACTTATAAACATCATATTGTATGTGGTATGTACGGTAAATTGTATGGGAAGTACTAACTTATCTGTTTATGCTGTCAAAGACCATGTGCTTAAAAAGTACAAATGAAGCTATTATATTCCAAATACCAAATATGTAGTTGATTATATGCGATAACAGCCAAATATGGATCAACAAAGTGCTCAAAAGAACCACTTTTTTAAAAAATTAATTCCAGTAGAGGAAAGACATGACTTTGAAGAGAGAACGTGGCTTTGGATGAGACCTAGCATGGTGGAGATTCTTTGACCGGAGGTCAGGGACTGACTGGAATGAGACTCTGCCCACAGCAAAAACAGAAGCAAGAGATCTGCTATGGTGCTTGCAGAGTACCGCTGACCCAAAGTACCAGAGTGACGTGTTATGTGAAACGCAGGCACAGCCAGCACCTCATCTGGGGTAAAGGATGTCATCCTAGACTTTTCCCTAGGTGGCTTGATGGCATCTCTCTCCAGGCATGATGAATCAATAGCAGACACAACCTCAAGCTATAGAACCCCAAGAATGAAATATGTATACCCATCCCTAGTTAGAAGCCCAAAGGAGCTTACCTTTCAAAATCATTTGTTTGCCACAATAGCAAATATAAATACATAAAAATAAGATTGGGGTCATATTCTACACAGCAATGAATCATGCAAAAATGATTGTATGAGATTCATTTAAATTTCTTCCTAAAACATTCAAAGAAATTTAAACAATGAAAGAATATCTCAAAAACATAAAACAAATAAAATAAAATGCTTTACAGGTGATACATCTAAAAATATGCAACACTTCTAAATAATAAAGGTAAATATAAGTAATGTTTTCTTTTCTAATATGTCAAGAAATAAGACACTATCTAACGGTTTCATTTATCTTCCAAAATTAAGGATTTTCCCATATCTTTTTGGTTAGAGGATGAACAAATTCAGGAAGGCTGATTCTCTACTCTTTGAAAACTTACAATGAATAAAATCTTGACTTTAAAATTAGCTTAAAATTGAGATTAATGGTTCTACAAACCATGAATATATGTTAAGATATACATATACATATATATATAGTATAGTATATATACACTGTATAACCACATCAGATTTCTGTAGCTATAAAATATTTCAACTAAGTTATTCTTTCTATTATCAGAGAGCTACATTCACCTGGAAAAGAATTCCTGAAATACATGGATAAGTCTATGTAATGGTTCTCTCACAGTACTGGAAACGTTTTGCTTTGTTCTAAACATCCCTCAGTATAGTTGCTTTCAGTATACGACCACGGCAGTGATTTAGGAATTGATATTGTTGTATAGAACTTTCTCTCTATATCCATATTAACATGGTCAAAAGTATTCTTTTATTTGAATCTAGAAGTATAAAAAGTAAACTGGTATTTAAAACAAAAAGCAAATAAACTCCAAATTAGGTCAGAAAAACCTATTTTTATATTAACAAGCTGCTGAATATATTGCATATATAAAAATAAATGAAATGGGAATGTTTTAAGATATAGTTTTACATGTTTACATGATGAAAGCTTACAGTTACTATTCAAGTTATTAATTCCAAGTACATTGGCAGTGAGACAGCATTATGATGTGGCGCCCTCTGCCGGGCTTTCTAGTCACAAACTCAACCTACTATCACAATTAGTAAAATCAAACACTTGGGCATCAAGTGAAAAATTACTTTCAATATTTGATCACTTTAAGCCTTGGCAAAAATTATATTAAAATTATAACCAATAACCACTTTACTGTAACAGGACTTTACAATTTATCCTTGAGAGAAATATCTCTCGAGAGAGTATAGATGTTCCTTTTAAAATAAGAGTATAATATAAAAATTACACTAAGCAACATGTTTTAATAGGTCTTATTTTTGTTACCACTTCTGTCACTTGGCATATGCAGGCTCTGAATGCCATATTTATAACAAGATAATATATTCAGGTTGTGAAGTCCACATTTTTTACTTTTTAACAAATTACTATTTTGGTCATTTATTTTCCTGCCTCGTTAGTTAAATAAAAATAGTTTATTTTAAAACATCAGAATAACCCTTAATATTACCTTCATTATTAAAAAAAACTGAAAGAAGTTTAAAAGATATTCATCACCAATAATAATAAATAATTTCCATTTATTGTATCAATTATGAGAATGTAGTATATGTTACATAGCTTCTACACATTATATCCAGTTCCAAGACACAAAAAAATATTGTGGCTCACGGATATGATATAAATTGTTCAAGATGAATTTCAGAACCAAGATTCAAATACAAGTAGGTCTCATTCCAAAGACTCAAACCTTTCTACCAAACAATAGACAGCAGTGGAAAAATACTTCTCACGTGCAATTTCTCCATTTTGTCAGTGTGACAACTGACAAAAGTTGGGGGGGGGGCTAGTTGATGAAAAAAAGAGAGCGGTGTAGTTTATAATATAATACAATATCATATATCATATCATATCATATCATATCATATCTCAGACCTTTAGAAAATATTTTTGTTTTACATAATGCTGCCAGCTAGTGGCCCCATTCCAGACTGAGTCACTGGGAACAATACTTGATTTTTACATGACTGAATCAAAATTCCCGTATTTAACACTCTCAAATCATGTTCCTAAACTATGTATGCATAAGCCTGACTTAATGATATTCTACCTTACCCTAAACCAAAGGACAATGTCCTCCTCAACACTATTAGCATGGCCAGTCCTTGCCCAAAGCCCCAATAAAAATATGAGCTATGCCTAAACAGGAAAGAATTGATGAAGTGCCAACATGTAGAAACTAAAAGATACACCTCACTGTCTGCGAAAAAGAAATCTACATTATTTTAAATATATACGGATTTTTAGGGTATTTATAAATTTCTGAGTGACAAAATACATATTTCCTTATACGATGTGAAGTTTATGATAATGTGGGCATAAGAACTAAGTATTGTTAGGCATTATTCTGTGCTGATTTAATAAAGTAGTACTGCTAGCATACAATATTGCTTTAGTTGAGACAATAATCCCAAGATTGGGACTGTCTTGAGACAGCCCCAAGATTTCCTTTGAGGAAAAAAAAACTATTTGAGTACTTAAATGTTTACATTTAAAACTGGCATATCTCATTGATAATTCATTATTTTAAGAGAAATATCCTAGATAACACCCATAAAAAAGTACACAGCTTCTATCAAGGTATGGTGTTTAGTGTACTGATATAAAGATTCTTTGATTTCTTTAATCATATGACATTATGACTATTTAAATGGCTTTCTCAGTGGGGAAATCATGACTTATAGGCTTAGATATAAGAACAGTATATTCTATAATATTGTGATATCGCATAAAACAAAAGCATTCTTGGATTAAAGTATATTAGCAGCAAGGAAAATGTGCTCTGGCATCATTCTGTAGTGAGAAAGGAGATGCGGGAAGTAGAAAAGAAAGCACCCAAAACACAACAAAGAAGGAGGAGGTAGCCCCTCGGCTGGATTAACTGAGAAGGTCAAAATGAAAACGGCAACAAAAGGGACCTGGAGAACCCAGTGTTCCTTCTGACCCACATTCTGTCACGCACACACAACTGCCAAGCATAAAACTGTTAATCCCACTTCGCAGGCACATTCTATGAGGCTGACTTTGCAGCTAAAACAAGTAAGAGTTTCCATCATACACACCATGCATGCATACACATTAGTCAGCATAATAAACATTAGTGAGAACAAATACCAATTATAAATTCACTTTTTTAAATACTAAAAATATTTCTATATAGTGATCATATAACTTACAAACATTCCCTGTATTGTCAAAGCTGGTAAGAACATCTTCAATATTCAAAGATCCACTGTTATGCCTAGAAAGGAGTAAAATATTTCCTTTAATGATTCTGAAATATTAAGACTTGCTAATTTTTTTAAAAGCTGAGAATGCACTGTGATATACTCCATACCAATAAACCCTTCCATGTTGTATTTTTTAAATATTTCTGCCCACTAGAGGGAGAAGGAAAAGAAATAACATAATATAGTCTTTGTAATATTAAATGAAATGGTATATCCTGATGATTAATCTACCTTTTAAAGTACTGTTTTTATTGTTGTTTTAGTTATATAAAGGTGGGATTAATTATTAACTTTTTAAAAGATATCAAAAACTTACACTTTGAGAATCTCAAAAGAAACATAATCAACCCCAGGACATCAACAATACATAAATGTCCTCTAGAGAAGCCCAAAGAATTCAGAACTTCAGTTACAAAGAAGTAATCAGCTTTTGGGTCTGCATATTCCGTCTGCATAGTCTCCATACTCGACCCATATCAGATCATGTGATTTGCAAATATTTTCTCCTGTCACGTGGGTTGTCCTTTCACTTCCTTGATAGCATCCTTTGATGCACAAAAGTTTTTAATTTTGGTGAAGTTCAACTTACCTATTTTTTCTTTTGTTGTTTGTGCTGTTAGTGTCATGTTTAGGCCTGGCTTACTGTTAACCTCTAGTTTCAACCAGTGCCATTTTTCTTTCCCCTTCAAATAATTATTTTCCCTAGTGACTCACTCTGTAGTCCTTATGTCTTCACAAGCTGTTCTTGGAAGAGCTTGCAGGTCCTCAGCTCCTAGGTTAGATGCTTGTGAGCAAGTTGGTTGACTTTGGGAAGAAGAAACTGGCTACTGGCAATACTGTTTCCATTGACGTATAACATTGTGAAATTTAAGGTGCACCATATTTTTATTTGATATATGAGGGGGATCCCCAAAATGGAATTTATTTATTAAAAATTGTGTATTCATTCTTACATATTTAAACTTCAGTTACCTTCAGAAGTAAACTTCAGTCACCTTCTGAAGTAAACTTCAGACCACCCTCTGTTTGATGCAATACACCTAGCGAGATGCTTTTTTCCACTGCTCAAAATAGTTTTTGAACTAATCAATTTTGATGCCTTTTAGTGCTTCTATCATTTTTTTGTTTCACCTCTTCCACATCGGGGAGCGGGGAAAGTCACTTAGGGTGAGATCGGGGGAATAGAGAGGGTGGGGCAGAGGGGTCATGCTGTAAATACTCAGCAGGCGTGGTCATAAATCGCCCATTGTGAAATGGGCAAACATACTAGAAAAATCTTCAGAAAGAAGTCACTGAAGCTAAATGCAGCCTCTCACAACAACACCAGTTGGTATACCGCTACAGATGGGTTCCTAGAACTCACCTAGCAGGGGAAGCCTGTACTGCAAGGGGCCCACCCTCCAGGAGAAAATTCTGGTTTTGGGGGGGTTCCCCTCATACTGTAAAATGATTATTACCATAGCATTAGCTAACACCTCTATGATATCACATAACTACCATTTCTCTTTTGTGGTGAAAACATCTAAATTAAAGTCTTGGGAGATGAGTTAAAACTTGGGATTTAGAACAAAGTTAGGTTGGCAAAATATTTTGGCAAAAGTTGTAATTGTTACACATACCAACATTAATTATCAGTATAATGCTAAGATTGTTCTTGTAGGTATTACTATGTGACCATATTGTTTAGGTAGGACTTAGGTAAGCAGTTGAAAGAGTAAGGATAGACAAGGTCTCATAGAGTCGACACTTAAATAAAGTAGATGACTCAAAGAATAACTAATAGTCCTGGAGTTTGGAGCAAATAAAAGTGAACTTGAAATAATCAAAGTAAATCTTTACCGCACTGTGTTTGTGTCCACTTTCCTATAATTACTACTAACTAAGATTATTCTTTCATGAAATCCCATCTCTTAGGGTTTCTAGACTGCACAGGTAATTGGCTTTCATGTTTGTTAGCTACTTAGAGGTATGGGGTTAGTTTGCTGTTTCTCTACCCCTGACCTCATTTAAAAGTGTCCTAGGATACATGTTCAGTTTCTTGGCTTTAAGAAATAATGCTTTTAAGAAGGTAAGTTTGCACCAGTGATAACTGTGAAAATCGCACTTTTTATTTTGAATATTGCTTTTAACTTTTAAACGTGTTTCACTTCAGCTACCTCAATTTCTGCTTTTTAGATATATTTAACTCTTTACAACATAGATGCACCTTTTTTCTACACTTATCTCAGAGTCAGATTTCATTTTTAAAGTTTCTTGTATTCTGATTTGGAAGAAAGAGGGAGTAGGGGGAGAGAGAGGAGAGGGGAGGAAAGGGGAGGAGAACAAATATGAGACAATGTCCTTATTAAAACTAGGCCATCTAAGCAATAAAACAATTTCACTTTCAGGAATGAATCCTAAAGAAATCATCAGAAATGGGTTCACGGATGCTTCTATAAGATGCTCATGGTATCAATATGCATAACAGCGCAAGACTGAGTATAATCTAAAATCCAACATAAAGTGTTGGTCAATATATTATGATGCAAACACTCACTCATTGGACTACTTGGCAGCCATTAAAATCATGTTTGGGGAATAACACTGAATGATGTGGGAAACTGTGCTGTGTTAAATGAAAACACACAAGGTGAAAACACACATGGACAATGCTTCCAGTTATTTGATGACAGGTATGTAAGCTCAGCATAAAATCTGAAGGCATGTACTGTGGCTGCCTCTGCATGATGGGATTATAAGAAGTTTTTCTTGAAGGAACCATATGTTGCTTTTACATTTAGGAAAAGGTTTTTTGAGTTTTATGCTGTACTGCTGACCATTTTAATCGCTTCACCTTGTAGTTGAGATGCTGGATACTTCATTCCTTTTCTCTTTCGTCTCATTTGCCCCGTGAGCACAAATAACCTCACCTAAACCTGGAACCCTGCACATGCAGAGAAGATTCAGAATCATCGGGGTATGGTGCTAAGAGTTTGGTCTGCGTTTGAAACAGGATTCCAGGAACCGCTCTGTGAGGGCTGGCTCAGAGGGCAGACACACAGTGCACTGGGGGGGGGGGGGGGGGGGGGGGGGGTCCCGTGCAGGCTTCTCCCTGCCGTGCCTGAGAGCCCCCTGTGTGGGAATGGCTGCCAGGCTAGGATTTGTTTTTTATTTAACGTGAGCCCACTTAGCCACCAGGAGCCCTTTTTAGTAGGAATCTTCTCTCTCAGGATTCACACTACTAACATTAAAACTATACATTTCTAATGTAAGTTCAGTGGTCACACTTGCCTCAGGTGACAACCTTGCCGGGCTTCTCACGGGCGCCTGTGACACCCACACATATAAGGATAACCTGCAGTCCGTCTGGTATCATAGGCGTGCCATTCCCATCACCGGTTTTTATCTACTGAGCCCTCCCAGAACATTTACTAAATTCAGTGGGGTGAGGGTTTGTCTAATTTTTTCCTTTCCCTAGAGATGCAATACGTGATCTCGCTGCAGCGTATTTGTTGTATTGTACTCGAAAGATGCACCACAAAGACAAGTCATTCTTGACTTCTTGCCCATTCTAAGCTCCCAGGACAAGGCAAAGTCAAGAGGCTTCTAATTCAGCAATTACCATAGCAACAGTGGTCTTATTCAAAGAGAGAAGGACAGTTCAAGCCTCTCAGCTTTTTCTATACCTAACACATGTATACATTTATAAATGAGTAATCCCGGCAATTCTATGGTTCCAAATATAATGGAAGTATTTAAACCTTCCGGAATATGTAAATTCCTTCTGCACTCAAAATAAGTTGAAATATGGGGGGTGGGGAACGATTTGTAGTATCCATGGAGCACATGCTATACAATGACAGACTGGGAGAAGGGATTTTTAATGGAAGATTTTCAGCATAAACATCTCCTAGGACATACTAGTTTTTTAGACATGCATCTATCTAATAGCAAGTTTGAGGCAATAAAGCACCAGAAAGACAGGAAGACTTTGACGAGGAATAAGTACAAGTCATGCCCTAGGTATTGATTTCCTAATTCTCAACAGTCACTTCAAAACAAAGAGTCAACCACCCTCAGATACACAGAAAATCAGTGATCTTGGGGATTTCACAACCTAACATTTACTTTGCCCAGACTTTTGCTTCTGATGAAAAATCACCAAGGGACATTCTTTATTCCTTCATTTTAAGCATCATCATGTAAAGCTGACAGAAAATAATGGCCAATGTTTTAATAGGCACCACTGCTTATATACCTTTTAATAATAATAGAAAAAGATACAACTGTGTACTTTGAATTCACAAATATCTAAATATTTACTCAATTTGGGTATTAATTTTAAGTCTAACAAAACTTTAAAGGAACAGAAATCAATATACAGGGAAATTTTAAGCAGGACAAGACTAACAAAAAGTACTGATAAGTATTAATCACCATATACACATCATCTCTGTCGAACCGTGACAGGTGCTCTTAGGTCACAGGTGGTACACACAAGGCGCACAGGCTGAATCCAGCCCCCCACCTTCTTTTATCTGGCCCGGCACCTTGTTTCTACCTGGCGGCAGTGCTGAGCTGTCACTTAACTGTTAAGAAGTTACATTTATTTATACAGTCCTAAAGTTACATTCGGCTCTTTGAAGGCAACTGCGAGGCAGATGTGGCCCCCAGTGAAAATGAATATGACACCCCGTCTTAGGTGATAAGAACCGAGGTGGTGAAAAGGAGGTTTATATTTATGACCTGTGAGGAACAAAACATCCCAAATGCTCAGCCCTTTATCAGAACCCAGAAGCAGATCCACCTTGTAACGTGTATGGATCACCACTCCTCAGTGGCCTCTGCCGATTCCGCCCTGCACTCTCTACTCCTGTATATTCTCTGGTGCCTTTGCCCTCCTCAGGAATGAGTCCTCCCTTCCTCCTAGAACTTTCCAACACTTTAGACCCAGTTTAAAATGCTGCTCCTCAAGGCCTTCCCCAAACCACTCCTAACTCTGAACTCTCCGTATGTGTGAGGTATTCCACCCATTTGGTTAATTAGGTATGCACTGCCTGTCGATAGTTCTTAGAGTAGATGGTTAACTTTCCTTCTTACTTATTTTATTATTTAACTTTTCACATATTTAAGCTCCTTGAGGATAGTATATTTTATATCTTTTTGTTTGCCTACATAGACGGCACTATTAAATATTTATTGATTTTAATTTATTTAAAACCATTCATTCCATCGTGCTGATTTAACAAACTTAAAAGACACAGAGGAAGATGATGGCGCTCCATTTCAAAGCTGCTCTCTAAACCACTGCTTCTGACGAGTGCAAGGGATTTCCTTCAAACTCCTCACTGCCTGGAAGCATTTTAGATCTTGCTTCCCCTCAATTGCTGCAATCTGGGCTCAAATAGACTCTTGTAAAAACTCTCTAAAAAATAAAATTATAAAAACAAACCTTTTCACAATTTTAAATAACACAACTCAAATAATACTGAAGACAGCAGATAAATGTAGCTAGCCCTGACCAGTGTGGTTCAGTTGCTTAGATGTCCTCTCGTGAAGGAAAACATTCCCAGTTCAATTCCCAGTCAGGGCACATGCCTGGGCTGCAGGTTTGGTCCCTGGTTGGGGTGTCATATACAAGAGGCAACCGATTGATGTTTCTCTTTCACATTGATATTTCTCTCCATCTTTTTCACCCGCCCATCCCCTCTCTCTAAAAATAAATCAATAAAATCTATTTTAAAAATAGTTGTAGGTTGCTAAAGAAATTATGGAAACATGTTGAGAAGAGTTGATGTGAGAAATCAAAGGAACAGGAGTGGAAGTCCGTGTTGGCAGATCACGGGAAACAAGGAAAAGCTGTAACCATAAGAAACCAACATGAGCGAAACTGGCAATGGAATGGAATGAATTAGTCTTGGCAGAAATCCTCCCCTGCCTACGCAATTTCAGCAACGTTTGCAACTTCCTGTACAGTAACAGAATCATGGAGCAAGAAATGGAATGCTCAGGACAGTCAAGGTGGACACTGGCTGTGCCAGGCCTCAGTCCATCTGCAAAATGAATAACTGGACGCATGCCTGCTTCACAAGAGGCAAGATGTACAGAAGTGAAGTTGGGTGAAAGTGCATGGTACTCCTCGTACTCTTTCTGCAAATTCTTGAGAATCTGTAATTATTTCAAAATAAAGATGTTTAAAAGTACAGGCTGTGGACCCAGACCATCAGGGTTTGAACAGAGGCACAATCCATTATTAGCTGTGTGACCTCAATTGAGTTATTTTCCTCTCTGGGCCTCAATTTCCTCTTCTATAAAGGGAGGATAATAACAGCATTCACCTCATAAGGTTCGTTGAGCAGATTAAAATAAACTAATCCATGTAAACCACTTGCAACAGTGTATGTCACACAGTAGGCACTCAATAAATAGCCATTATTAATGTTGTTATGATTTTTTTTAAATGTACCCTAAGATCGTGTTCAGCTCTAGAATTCTGTATGTTTTAAGCTGTTTGATCAAATTTTTAGCACAGTCACCTGTCTTCCCTCCATAAATGTATTAAATGTCTTATTATATAGACACACCTATATTTATTCTTTCAGAAATGGATATATCATAAACAACCCATTGGACAGGAGTCTCAGTGTACGTGGCAGCCTGGCTTCCGGCTACGTTCAAGTCACCTCTATCCATGAGATGGAGAACCGTGTCTTGTTACGAAAGTTCTCAAGGACAACAGATTCCACGTGATCTGCAGTAATGCTCACCAGGGCCTTGAAGACATCAGGAAATTATTCTCGGCAGTTTACACTCATCACCTCTTGTTACCAGTGGATGTAGAAGACACGTTTTAGAACTTCGTATCTGAAGACCCTACTAGATCTCTCCTTCCTTCTCTTTAATTCCCTTACAGGTACTATCTTCCAAAAGTTTAATTACCTTTATTTCTACTTCCCAGAGTTATTGTAAGGATTCCATTAATTAGAATACATCAAAGCATCTAATTCTGTGCCTGGCTCAGACTAAGTACCTAATGAATTTTTCTTTCTTTCTTAACCAAGAACTAAACTATCTCCATTAGACTGTGAGGCAGTTGAGGCATTCTAAATGGAATCTCATAAAGAATATACAGGCAAGCTAACAAGTCCAACAGGTTTTTATCTTTTGTTTGAAATGTTCAATAAAGTGGTATTATTAAACCAAATCCTAATTTTTCTTCCCTGCTCTCCCTGCTCAATTTTTATTCAAATCCCAAAGTTTAGCTATTATGGTGACTTTTAAAGCTTAGATATTTTAAACAAAAGTAGTTCAAGAAACATATACTATAAATAGACATCCTTTGGGAGAACGTTTTTTCTAAAATTATTCCTAGCCTTTTCTAAACCTTATTCAGTCACACTGCCACTTAAAATGTTTTTTGCTTTTACAGTTACTGTAAATGTGCTCCTCCCAAAGTATGAAATCTTGTCAAAAAAGGCAGATTTTATGATATCAAACACCTACAGTAATGCGGCAACATGAGAGATTGTAGCTGTAGGGAAAAGTGATTCAGTAAAGCTGGTGTCACTTCAGTTTGCAACTCCTTTGTCTGTTTTCGAGTGATTTTTACAGCCATAACAGTCTGCAAGCTTCCCACAATATCGGTATTTTCAGCTAAATTTTCTCCTCCTATTCTTAAGATTCTATTCTGAAAGTGACAAAACATGAATGGGATAAGTACCAAAGCTTGATTTTTTAGAAAACTACTACTTCAAGGGTAGTTGAGAAAAATCCTGTTTTCCCTTTCAGCCTTCCTTGCCTCACAAAGAACTTGGCTTTTTGTCATAACCAAATGCTATGGGCGAATAGTTAAATGGACCCTTTGATTTGCAACACAGTGTATCCTCAACTGCCACCACATTTCTAAGAGTTTTTTTCTTTAGTCATGAGAATACAACGGGATCCAGTTAAAGCAGCAGGAATTCCTAACACAAAGTTGCAAAACCTAAATTCTGATAAAGATTGCCTGCAAATGAAATAGAATGCACAATGAGGTTATTATTGTTTCTCTAAGAGAAAAATGCTTTTTTAAAAAATATTTAACTAGACTGATTTTTACCTTAAGGAAATACTGTATTCCGGGTAGAAGACACTTGTGTACTGGGCCCACGCACCAAAGTCCTCTTCAGCTTCCCTTGTCAGGTCGTCTGTTACTGAAAACAGATTAAACGATTCAAATCTTCTTACAGATACACGTCGTAGACAATCATCCAGGTGTTTTTGCTTCAGAACCTTTGAAATAAAACCAGATATTTTGGTCATAATATATAAACATAAGTGTTCAGAATTTAAGTGGTAAAGGGACTTTTATTTCAAATAATAGACTATCAGAAAATTCAGAGCAACTTTTTACAGAAAACAACCAGAAAAGATTAACAAACTATTTTAAAACATTACTTGAAGGCATCAGAGAGCAAAGAAGACGGTGAAGGTATACCAGTCTAATAAAGGAGTTAGGTGTACAGAGGTGAGCCTGGCCACTTTTATTGGAGGACGTTTGTCAACCCCAAAAGAAAGGGCTGCGAAGAGAGCGACACCTGTAACAGCTGGCAGAGGCAGACTGACTTCCAAAGCTTACAACACAAGCAGGAGCATCTGAGCCCATCCCTGTGCATGTGGGTGTATGTGCGTGTGTGCGTGTGTGTTTTAAGGTACATGAGTAACTTTGTTGATATCGTTGAAACTGGATTTTTAAGTCTGGGAGAAAGGAGATACAGCTATAAAATTAATGAGGATAAGTAAAACCCTATGCCTCTGAATCTGAATAAAGTATAATAGAAACTAATGATTTCATTTTCTAAAAATATGTTTATTGATTTTAGAGAAAGGGGAAGGAAAAGAGAGAAAGAAACACTGATGCGAGAGAGGAACATTGACTGGTTGCCTCCCATATGCACCCTGACCAGGGGTCAAACCCACAACCTAGGTATGCGCCCTTACTGGGAATCGAGCCTTCAACCAACTGAGCCACACCAACCAGGGCTCATTTCATTTTTTAAAAAACTATACATATCCTTCCTACATCTGACCATTGCAAAAGTCTAGAAACAGTGAGTGACCAACTAGAAGTAATAAACACAGGGTACTATCTCTAAACACTATTTTCAATTAAAACAGGGTAAGGTCCCTTAGGGAAATTGTTAGATAGGACAAGGGTCTCAAGGTCAGGGTGGTCCTTACTAAATGCTATTCTTGCTTAATTTTTAAATGTAACAGTACTTTGCAGACTCAGTTGTAACTTGATGAGCTAGACTACAACCCAAGGATAAGTTTAGCCAAATGCAAAGAAAAAACCAACATGTAATTAACCAGATAGTCCCTATAAGCAATAGCTAAGCCTCCCTTCATGGATACAGAGCTTGGATGTGAAGCCCTTGTCTCCTTTACTTGCTGCAAGAGATAAAACTCCCCAACAAGAACAACATCTAGTTCTTGAAGAGAGCACCCCAAGGGGCCAACCCATTGCATCGGTTATAAAATGGCAGGAACTGTGGGGATATAAGATGAGCCTAAAACATCCTATACAAGTAAACAAGAAAGCCACACAAAATAAAGAGGAATATTCATAGTATTCTGGCCAATCTGAATACTCACAGGGTGAGTATTAACAACAGCAAGAAATGTAATGGAATTGAAGCACATTAGTTCATAAAGGTATTTTTCCAAATGCTTCATTGATGACCATGGAAGGGTGCTAGAGAACCAACATATAACTTTGAAAATCAGTAATAGAGAGACTGAAGTATTTCTGTCTTTTCTCTATGAACTGCAACTGAGAGTCCAAATAGAAGATCAAGGGAAGGTTCCAAATAATAAATGAAGACAGAATTACAGAATTAGAATATCTCTATATTCAACCCTCTCATGAACTCATAAACCTAGGCAATTGCCATCAAGAAGAGAAATAACAAGACATTCCTATGATTACTGATGAAAGTACACAACACCATCACCTTGATCAACCAAACAGAACAAAAAAAAAACCCCATCAAATCTGAAGCCAAGTTCCTATATTTTGTAAGAAATACAGGAAGAGAGGAACACATTAAGCATACTCATCAAGTGCAATTAGCAAAATTTAAATTATGAGAGCTCTACAAGACAAAAATCCCAGTTTCTTCAGTAAATTAAAGACAAGGGTTGAAAAGGAGATATACAGATTAAAAAGAACATTTTTAATTAAAAATTTAAAAGTTCATTCTAGATTAAAAAGTCAACCAATAACATTCTAAAAGTCAGAACATGTACATTAAGAAGTCAACCAATAACACATATCAACCAATAACAATGTTTGGACCTTATTTTGATCCTGTTTCAAAATAATCTAATTGTAAAGAAAAATTATGAGATAAAAGGGAAATTTTTTTAAAATATTTTATTTATTTATTTTTTGAGAGGGGGGAAGGGAAGGAGAAAGAGTAGGAGAGAAATATCAATGTATGGTTGCCTCTCATGCGTCCCCTGCTGGGAACTGGCCTGCAACCCAGGCATGTGCCCTGACTGGGAATCGAACTGCGATACTCTGGTTCGCAGGCCCGCGCTCAATCCACTGAGCTATGCCAGCCAGGTCAAAAGGGAAATTTTTAAAAGCAACCAGATGTCTCATGACATCAAAGAGTTATTCTGGGTGTGATACGGCATTGTGATTATGTTTTTAAATGTCATCTTGTATAGATACATACTGAAATATTTACAGAAAAAAACTGCCATGATATCCGAAATCTACTTCCAAATAATAGTAGTTGGGAATATAATAAGAAAATAGAGATGAAACAAAGTTGGTCAGAAGTTAAAAATTGTTGAAGAGGATGGGTATATGAGTGATTATTAAACTATTCTAATTTTGTATATGTTTGATGTTTCCCAAAATACAAAGTTTTTTAAAGATATAAAACAACCTAACAGTCATAAACAAGTAAAAATAGCTAAAAATATAAACTACAAATATATGTAGAAAGCAATATACTTCTAAATAACCTGTGAACCAAAAAAGGGAAAGAAAGCATAATGGTAATTACAAAGTATTTTTTAACTGAATGATAATAAAAATGCATTTCAAAACATATAAAATGCAACTAAATCCATGCTTACAGGGAAATTTATAGAAGGGCTAAAAATGGATAAACTAAGCATCCATTGCAAAATTAGAAGAAGCAAATCAAGTCCCTAAAAGAACAGATGTTAATTAAGTAGAAAACAAAGACCTCAGGGAGAATTAACGATACCAAAATTGATTCACTGAAGAAATTAAATAAAATCGATAAATCCTCAATGAGACTAATATGAACAAAAGAATGAAGGTGTAAGTATCAACATAACATAGGAAGATTACTATACATCCTACAGGCATTAAAAATAGCAAAGGGATATTACGAAAACTAACTTTGAAAATTAGAAAAAATTAACAAATTCCTAGAAAAATACAACTACCAAAGTTGATATAAGAAGAAACAGAAATTGTAAATAGTCTTAAATTATTTTTAAAATAGAGAGCATAAATAAAAACCTTACCACAAAGTAAACTCCAGATCTACCTTGCTCACAGTCTAAGTAAGAATTAATGCAAATCTTACCACACTCTTCCTTAAATCCATAAGTAACCCTAGGGTATAAAAACTTTGTGACAGAGGAAACTGACGCAAAGTAATTGATTTGTTAATTTGTTCAATCAGAGAGCTTTTAAGAGGTGAATCCAGGCTTCAAATCTAGATAGTGTGACTGCTTAAACTCTTAAAACCTCTGCTTGTAGAGAATATGGGAGACAGGCATCAAACATCCATTCCAACATCCTTCTAAGATACCTACCTATAGTAGAAAGCTGGAAACTAAAGACTACATTTCCCAGAATCCATAGCAGCCAAATTTACAAATCTATGGTTTTAGTTTAGCTAATCAGGTGCACTAGCATGAGATTTGAAAAGATAGTAGTAACTGTATTTGTGCAACTTTTACTGGTAAGAATAGTTATAAAGACATTTTATTCTTGTACAGCACCTTTAGCAGAGTCCCCAGTGTTCACTCTAACTTAATAGAGAATAAGAGCAGCAGAAGAGCCATATTTCAGCAAACAAATTTAATAGATAAGATTTACATCTAGAGTCTATAAACCTCACAACAGCTACTTATCAGAGATGCTAGGTAAGTGGTAAGATCTTAGAAGACAACCTCAGGTTCTTCTGTGGTTCTGGGTGTTGGTTGTTCTATATTCCAGCTGTAATTTTGGTGGTGGTGTGCAAAATGACAAGCCATGATTATGTTGCCATCCTAACTGGAAGTCATAAAATGTTTTTTGGTGTTAAAAGCAAGTTAACCAAATCCTTTGTTATAAAAAGAAAATAGGATTTGAAGATACAAAATGAATGATTTCTAACCCTGGAAAGTAGTTCAACTTTAAAATACTCAGAAATGAAAAAAGGCTTGAAAGAAATCTAGTCCCAGTTGATCATAATCATGTAAGTTATTAAGGACAGCTCTGGGCTTAAAATCAAGTTGTTAATAGAATTCAATGACAGAAATCATGCTGTCTGTTTCAGCATTAATAGTCTCAAACATAGAGCACCCTACTTTAATTTAAATCATGCTGTGAACCCTTTGGTTCCCTTTCCCATTTCCCATGCCCCATGCTGGTCATAAAAGGAGGAAAAGTAATACTGGAGTGGGCCTCATAGCTCTGTAGCATGTGGGCTAATTTCAAACAAGGTTAAAAAGTAATAAAAAATAAATAAATTGTGCCGTGAACTATTCTGTTAATCAGATTCTTCTGCCAAGTATTCAGGCTTCTAGGCTAGATTATTCATTCATTGGGTATCTGTACACATGTAATGGTCACTGCTACTTTTTGTCTGCCCTACATCCCTTACCTCTTAGAAACTACTCCTCCCTCACTCTGTGTAATAATGGTGTGATTGTTCTCTTCCCTGACCCCCATGGGCTGATGACCCACTGTGAGTTCAAGGAATGAGAGCCTTGTGGACCAAGAATGCAGCATAGAACCACTCAGCTGATGACAGCCTATGCCAGTTAACTCCCAGGTGGCCCACAGATGCATAGACAGAATAAATGCTTGTTGTGGTATGCCACTGTGATGTTGCAGTTGCTTGTTATTCAGCAACAGCTAGCTGATACAATATACTGAGGACTTCGTACTATGGACCACTTAAAGACTGTCCATACTCTAAGGCTTTCTATAAGAATTGATAATATCTACCAAAAACCAACTAGCCAGGCCCTGTGCAGAAGCCAGGTGCAGAAGATGAAGATTCATAAAATATCCTTTCCCAAGAAAACTCCCATTCTTTTAAGAAAGATAGATTCTGACCAAATAATCACAAAATCATGTGATGTGAGGTTCACCAAAAGAGTGAGCAGAGGGTCTCACTCAGACCATGGTCATTAGGAGAGGCTTCACAAAAGAGGAGATTGACATGGAGGTCTGAAGGATAAATAGTCATTAACTAAGTAGAGAAGATAAAAAGACTTTATGCAGAGGACAGATTTGTACCAAAACATTAAATGTCAAAGCCTTTGGAGAGTTCAAGTGGTAGCCATAGCTGAAACTTTTCTTATGTAGACAGCAATTCAGAATGAGCCTAAGTGCTGGTCAACTAGTTTTTGCTATACTAAGAATTAATGAAGTCATCATAATAAGATTTGATTAATTTAAGGCACTAATTTACTAATTTCAAAATTGGACTTTAATCAATGTTTACTTCACTATAGAAAGTTCCTGTAATAATGATTTGAGGACGCTCACTTTATTACTCCATAATACCAATTGTAACATTAATAGAAAAACCAGCTCTGGGATGACTTTCAAAGCATCAGCAAAGAAATGATCATTGAGTTACGTCGTGACAACACTGGAAGGCCGCCATACGAAAAGGTGACTCTGCAAAGTGAGTGCAAACAAAGTAAACTCCCAAATACCACCCACACAATCTCAAGTAAAGTGGCAATAGCTGGGAAACTCCTCTTGAAATACATCGAAAATGCAAGTGTCCTCGAGTAAAATCTTCAGCAGGGAGCCTCAAGCAGAGGTACAACACTGGAGTGTAGAACAATAAACAGATTTCATTTCCAGCAATTTGGAAAGATTCAGTGATGTCAAATCAGAAATCTCTCAAACCTGCACAGGACTGAAGTGATAAGCCAATAGCAGCAACTTTTAGGTACGAGAAGATAACGGCCATTAAACAAACTATTGCACCTTGGGCGGGGAGACTCTCTCCAATCACCTCCAACTGCAAGATAACTTTCAAACGGCGGGAGAAAAGGGGGCAGGAGGGAGCAGCTCTAGCTACTCCCTTCACTCTCCGCTGTCACTGAAGAAACAGAGGCAACGCGTGAAAAGCCAAAGTCCCACCAACAGTCAAGCACAACGATCTCCAAAGCAAGGGCCAGACTTAGGGCTACAATGAGGCTGGGAGTTAAAAAGCAAGTAGAAGAAACCTGGGGAAGGAAGTACAACAGAAGCAGGGAAAAAAAAAAAAAACTGTCTGGGGTGGGGAGCGTCCCACCGATCGCCCTCTAGCAACAGTCCCCCTGATCAGACAAATGTCTAGAAAGGCATTTTCTACTTCGCTGAGTTTCCCAGGAACTCAGCGTTGGGAGCCTCTTCCCTGCACAACCCCACGTGAATCCTCCCTTTTGGTGGGACGCTTAGGTGAAGCAAAAGGCTCTGGACAAAACTGTACGGGCTACTAAGTAGCTGCCCGTCGCCCTCCCCGCACAAAAGGGGAGTGACCAGAGGCAAAGGTGAAACGAGACGGCTCTCTCTTCCTTACCTGCCGCAAGAGCTTCCATCGGGCGGCTCCTAAGGACGAGGAACCTGCGTGCCCAGGAGCCGCGCCTCTGCTTGTTCTGTCCTTGCCCGAGGCGCGCTCAGCCTGGCTGGCCACAGTGTCGGAGACTCGAGACTCCATCCTTCCGGAGCCAACTGTATGCCAGCTGCCGCCACAACTACTCTCCCCTGCCAGGACCAGCGTACTTCTTCCCTGTCAGGACCTGTGACGCCAACCCTCCCTACGAACTGCCCAGGCCCCCCTAAAATCCGCATTTCCGGTTTTCTTGTCTCCTTGACAACCAGCCCCGCGAGGTTCACGTCATTGCACCATTTTGCCGGTGGCCACCTTGAGTGAGGGCGGGCCAGAGGGGGAGGGATCTTTAAAAGAGGTAATAAAACGCTGTCTCTCTTTGTTTTCTTCTCCCCTACCTCATATAGAGCTAGGAATGCTAGCAAAAAACCAAAAGGATTATATTTTTGAGGATTTAAGACCCCAGGAGAAAAGAGAAATCCATTCTTGACCACAGTAAAGATGGCGAAATCTGCTTAGTGCTCGTGCAGGATCTGGGTTACGTAGATCTGCGTGCTGCAAACCAACTCTGGGTAGGTTGTGATTCTGCAAGCTGCAGAACACAGATCTCGGCTGGACGCGACGGAGGTTGCATCTCCGTTACTCCTAAGAGCTTCTTCGGCGGTCTGTCTTCACTCTTTCGGTGTTCAGAGCCAGACTGACTTTGAATTTGCGTACGTATGGGTGGCGTATGCTGGGGGTCTCTACCCTTTTTTCCCTTTCTCCCCCCACCCCCCATCCCCAGCCACCCCTTAGTCCCTTGTTCCTCGCTTTTTGACCAATGTCCCTTCATTGCGTGGCACATGGCATTCCCCTCGCCGTCGCACTCCTGCCGTCTCATCCCTGGGGTGGAGAGTTTCACCGGGAAAACAAATACTTTCTCCCGGGAACACCCATTCATTGACCCACCCCCATCCTTAGCCTTGCATAGTGTCTTTTCCCTGCATATGATGGATGGATGAATTGAGGCTGTCCACATGGATATAGTGATTTAGGTTATTTGTTTCTATTTTGCTAGTGTCGGCTACTGATCCCCTATTCTCACTCGCCCATTATTTTGCTGCGACACAGGCATTAATGGAGGCGGGGGCTGTTGGCGTGGTAGGGGATCAGAGCTGTGGTAAATCTGACGCAGTATTGTGCCTTTCATACCGAGGGGCGTTTTGTGGAATACTTCCATGATGACATCTGACGCTGCAACATGTCTAGATTTTTTTTCTATCCTAATAATAGTAGTCACCATTTACTGAGTGGATACTCCGTGTCAGGCACTGTATTAAGATCTTAACCTAAATTGTCTCGTTACAACAACTCCATAGGGTAAATAGTGCCCTTATCAGCTTTGCAGGTGAAGAAATTTAGGCACAAGAAGAAAGTGCACGAGTGAAGACCTTAATCCAGGTCTCTGTGACTCTTAAATACTTACTAGTTTTAACTACCTTCATAGGTTAGTAAGAGGTTAGTAAAAACCAACTTCACAACAGAAACCAGAGATGGTCACATTTATTTTGTGCATCCTGAAGTAATTTTGTATGTTTAGCTAAATACCTTTGTAAGTTGAAATCCAATCGCTGGGGTCCAAGATTTGAAGCCAAACCATTTTGGACTTCTTGCTGTACTACTTACTGGGGCAGTTGCTTAAACTTCCCAGAGCCAGTTTGCTCACCTGTAGAATGAACATCATAATAGCTACTCTATCAGGTCCTTATGGATCCATATACACACTAAACCAACCTCTGCTCTCAGTTATGTAAGATCAAAGCCATTTCGCCTTTTAAAACCCTCAGTCCCTGAGATGCCCCCCCATTAAGTCTATGCACTTATTTACAAATTTTGATTTTGTTTTTTGTTTTGTTTTTTGTTGTTGTTTTGTTTTTTAGTTGCCCCTATGTGTGCCATAGTCGGTGCTGCATAGTGTGACTTGATAGGACTGACTTTCCAAATGAAACAGTTTAGGCACATCTGCCAAGAAGTAAAATTTGAATGAAACTCACAAGTTTTCAGATGTTTTTAACCTGAGTTCTCAGTTATTCATTACCTGAGGGGTGTGTGGCCCTAAAGGGTAGGGATAAGAACTGCGGATCTTAGATGCTGTTGAGAACCCACTACTGTATAACCATACCTATGAAATCACTCATGCTGGCAGCCCCAGAGGGAGCATAAACCAGGGACTGTGATATCATGCAGCTGAAGAGCAGATTATTTCTCCGAGCTTTGAAGTATAGTATTCCTCACCTCGGGAAGTGCATGCAGAAACAGCATTTGAATCACTGTACCTTCGCTGATCACAATTACAGTAGAATAAAGTTGAAAAAATATCACCTAACCAAGTGTCTGCAGAATAAACTCAAGATATCAGAGTTAGCAAGAAACATCCCGAGTCGGAGCTTCTCATGTAAGGTATGAACTGTTTAAGTTTACCTGTTTGTAGGTCATTAAGATTAATTTTAGTTTAAAAATAATTCTAGTTTGATTTTTTAAATGTTCAGGCTCAATTGTCTATAGTCCAAATAAGTATAAAAGAATATATACATATATTTATAGAGTTCTAAGTTAACCTATAAAGATATATTTAATATTTATGTAATGACTCACCTTAGAAATTCCTTAGTGTACCTACCAGTACAATTCTGAGTATTCAGTTTTCTAAAATTCCTTGAATATCATAACAACTCATAATAAATTTGTCTAATATAGTCGTTTTCTGAATACCACATTAATAAACTTCAGTAAAGGCCATGTACTTGTGTGTTACTGTTGTGTAAAATGAAGAAAGGACTTCCACGTGGGACCACCTGAGTCATTTAGGAAGTCACTTTCAGATTGTTGTACTCTGGCCGGATCCCAGGCCACAGTCAGTCGCGACCTCAGCCTTGAGAACCCAGTTGCCCTTATATGTAGAGCAACCTCATTCTGGGTAGCCTGGGAGGGTCCCAGTCTACACCAGTTGTCCCTGGGTAATTGCAAATATTGTCCCCTTCCCTCTCAAAAGTGCCCTGGTTAGGATGGTAAATTAAGTGCATCCTGCTTGTTTCAGATTAAGCTGCTGCCTCTTTGCCCACCTCTTTTACCTCATACTTGTTATGGCCCTGAGGTTCCTTAAATTACATTTGGAGGTGATATTCTTGTAATATTTAGTGTATTTTATTATTTTAATCTTTGGTTTTAATTGTTTTGCTGCATACTGGTTTTTCTTACTCTGCTTTTTGACTTCCTCATTTTTTTATTGTGGTAAAATAAGTGTGACATAAAATTTGCCATTTAAACCATTTTAAGTGTAATTTAATGGCGTTAATTACATTCACAATGTTGTATAGCCATCACCACTATCTATTTCCAAAACCCTATCACCACCCGAAACATAGATCCATTAAGCAATGTCCTATCTTTTTTGAGCCCCTGAAAATCTTTAATGTACTTGGTTTTTATGAAATTGCCTATTCTAGGTAATTCACATAAGCAAATCACAATATTGCCCTTCTGTTTTTGGCTTATTTCACTTAACATAATCTTCTCAAGGTTCAACCATTTTGTAGCATATATCAGAACTTCATTCCTTTTTATGGCCGAGTAATATTCCATGATGTGTATATATCACATTTTGTTTAGCCATTCATCTATTGGTGGACACTTGAATGGATTCTTGTAATTTAAAAATGGTATTTAATATTATTTTACATAGTTTATTTGGTTTTTTATTTAATTTATGTTCTTCTCTTAGCTCAGACTTATTTGTTGTAAGTTTTGTGTGTACTGTTTTTGTTTTTTGCTTTTAACTTTTTATCTGTTAATCCCTAGACTTTTTACTCCCGACCTTTTAGTCTTTCAAATTATTTTTCTTTTCAAAGCATCTGAGTTTAGCACTTTGATTCTTTCTCTTTTTAAAAGATTTTATTTATTTATCTTTAGAGGGGAAGGGAAGGAGAAATGGAGAGAAATAATGTATGGTTGCTGTTGTGTGTTCCCTGCTGGGAACTGGCCTGCAACCCAGGCATGTGCCCTGACTGGGAATCGAACCTTGATCCTCTGGTTCACAGGTCTGGGCTCAATCCACTGAGCTACACCAGCCAGGGCTGATTCTTTCTTTACTCATGCAGAAGTTCTTTGTGCCTTTTATTTCATCCTTACCTTTTGTGTGTGTGCACACATGAACAGCTTTATTGTACTTTAAAAAATGTAAAAAACAGGCTTTAAATTTTACCTATGGGATATATTTTAGACCTTTAGATCATTTTATTTTGCATGTGTTTGGAACATTTTACCATCTTGTGCTTTTCTCTTAGGTCTTAGTTTATGAATGGCAGGCAGGGTCAGCCATCAGAGTAACAGCTGTGAGATCAGCTCACACCCAGGTTGGGGGGGGGGGCTTTTTTTTTCCCTCTGCTTGTCCCTGAAGGAACTTTTTAATTTTCTTTCATAGATACTCACTACCTAGAAACTCTATCCTGAGCCATTAACTTCAAGAAAAGTAGCTCTTTTAGTAATTCTTTTGCCTAATAAAATGGTCCTGTTTTCACGTCATTTGTCAACCATTCCTTCTGTGAGAAAAGATAAGACCTAAAAGCTGTGGTCTCTGTCTTCACCGTCCCCGGGATCTGGGGAACCTGAAGGGACCTGTAGGCAAGAAAACACATTTCCTTTCAGCAAACATTGACTCAGTTCTAACTTTGTCCACTCTTATGGGTACAGTAAAGGAGAAAAAGTGATTGGTTTCTATAGAAAAATTAAAACATACTTGCTTAAAGTACAGACCTATTTTTATAAGGTAACTAAAGAACAACACACATAATAGAAATGCCAAAAAGCAAAGGATCTAGCCATGACTCGTGTGTCTGGGAACTAGTCTGGCCTCTAATCTTCCTGAGGGGCGTGTGTGAGGGTGGGGAGGAGGTTTGATTTGATGTTCTCTAAAATAGGGGTCCCCAACCCCTGGGCCACTGGTCTGTGAGAAACTGGGTCACACAGCAGGAGGTGAGCGTGAGTGTCATGCACTTGAATCATCCTGAAACCATCCCCGCCACCCTCTGGGTCCATGGAAAAATTGTCTTCCACAAAACCAGTCTTAAGCCAAAAAGGTTGGGGGGCATTGCTCTAAAAGTCCTCCAAGTGCTCATTTCTTCCTGTACTTCTACCTTACTAGAAACAAATTAGCACCTATGTTTGAACTCTGTAGGACCAGCTCCTACATTCTGTCTGTATCAGATGTCCCAAGGAGCTTTGTATAAATGCAGATTCCTGGATCTCACCCCACGTCCGCAGGGTCAGAATCTCCATGGCTGAGGCCTAGGGGGTCAGTTGAATGTTTTTGCTGCACTTGAGGGGTGTGTGGTGGTTTTTGGTTTTGGTTTCTTGGGTAATTTTGTAATTCCCAGCCTGCCACTCACAGTGGACCTGCATTTAGGAACTAGAGACTCATGGCGATCAGTGATCAAGTTCTGCTGACCTAAACCTGATTGAATCCATTCATTCTGAAGTTCTCATTGGCAAGTACCTTAGCTGTCCATTTTACATTATCCAGGTGGCAAGATGAACTACTCCATTACTCCTGCACCAGCTAGTAATATTCAAAGACTAGCATCAGACTAGATAACCACACTTATCTGCCACATCATCTGGCTCTGCTCCGATTACAAAAACATTTTCTAAAATCTTCAGTCACGATAATTCGAATGAAATACAATAAAACGAAATAAGGAAAGAAAAGAGGAAGGACCACGTACTACGTACTTTGGAAACACCGGCCCACTGGCTGTTTCTTCAGTAATGATTAGCAATTCCTATAGCAGTCTCCCTAAGGTTGGGAAAGAAATATCTCCTTCACTGGCACTACTGATCCGTGATTTGTAGGAATCACTGGTTCTCACTAACAAGTTGAAAATGTTGCCAGGAAAGAAGAAATGGGAAAATTTTAAAAGTTAGGAAAGCCAGAAAGACATTTAAGAAATGTCTCGCAATAAATTTTTTATAATAGTTCACAGAGTGGGACTGCCCTACAGGTACAGCGTCATTGTTGGTGATTTCTGCACACCATTTACTTTTCAATCTGCTGGAGTATGGCTGCTGTCCGTCCGCGAACACTGTCAGTGTCACCAAAGACATGCCGTATTTCAACCCAGGAGACGCTTCCCGTTCCTCTTATGGGCCCTCTCAGCAGACTACGCTCTTGACCACTCCCGCCTTGAACCACTCTTCCCTTTTGGCCTCTTGGCCAAACCTTTTCCTGGTTTTTCCTACCCTGCAATCCTATCCTCACTCTCCTCGCCTAACTTTCCTTTCATATAACCTCTAAATTTTGGAATTTCTCGGGGCCTACTTCTGACCCCTTTTTCTCTCTTCCTAAGTAATTTTATCTTTTCCACTGGATTTAAGTACCAGAGCAGTTGTCTTCATCCCAAACTCCCCTTTGAGCTGCACATTGTGGACAGCTCCCTGACTTGTCAAACAAACTATCCACGGTTGAATTTCAGCTCTTCCAGCCTTGACTCGGCTCTTACCTCATTGCTCTAGACCACAGGGGGCAAACACAAGGCCCACGATCCGGCCCTGCACCTTGGTTCATCCCACCCGGCGCCTTGTTTCTACCCGGCAGCAGCGCTGAGCTCTGGCTTAACTGTTAAGGAGAATTACATTTACACAGTCCTAAAGTTACATTCGGCCCTTTGAAGGCAACTGTGAGGCTGATGTGGCCCCCAGTGAAAATGAGTTTGACACCCCTGCTCTGTATGCAGTTCAAACTGCAACACAGGAAAACGTCATTTATTCCTCCTGTGCCCTTCCACTGCCGTCATATTCATTAGCAGGGCATCCTAAACAGCCTTATGATATTTTTTGTCACCTGTCCGTACTGCCTAGGCTATTATTTACTTAACTATTTGAGTTTACTCAATTTGTCTTATCCCATGGGATGATATTCAGCTTATCATCAGTCTGATGCATTAGTTTTATTCTTTCTAATAAAGTGTTCACGTCCAAATTGTGTATACCATCATGTCTGACATGCTTTTAGAAGCTGCATTAACCTCCAAAATATATTGAATCTGTCCATGTTTCTCCATCTCTACCATCATCACTTGGTGGTCTTTCACCTGGACCACGGGTAAAGTCACCTAACCGGCTCTTTTGATTGTCCGTTTCTTCCTCTTATTCTTTTGCTTGTGGTTGTCCAGTTATCCCAGCACCGTCTACTGAAAAGACCTTTTCCCATTGAACTGTCTTAGTACCCGTGTTGAAAATGTATTAACCATGAATGTAAGGGTTTATTTCTGGACTCGCAGTTCTGTCCTGTTTGTCTGTCTGTCCGTCCTTAGGCCAGTGTTCTCTATATTACTATAGCTTTGTAGTAAGTTTTGAAATCAGGAAGTGTGTGAGCTACATCTTGTGAATAAAAAACTAAAACATAGAACCAAGATAAAAACTGTGTGTGTGTGTGTGTGTGTGTATGAATCAGAACTAGACCTTGGGTAACCTGATTCATGTTACCTTTCTTTTTTAATACCTTATTTTATAAATTATTACAAATAAATACAAAGTCAAAAAGAATTACCCTAACAAATACCCAAAGACTACTTTGTACTTCACATTTCCCACTTTACCTCCCCAGTGCAGATCAGTGTCTTCAGTCTCTTTCCTTGTATGTTTTTATGTAAATTGCACATGTGTTTGTATCCACAGATGATACATAGTATTGTTTTGCATGTTTTTGTAAACTTTATATAAATAAAATACAATTGTATAATTTGATTGTTTGCTCAACACTGGGATTTGGGATTCCACACTAAAACAGCTACGTCTGGTTCACTTCCTACAACTGCTGTGTGGCGGTCTGATATACCACAATTAAACCGGTACCACCAGAGTAGTACCGGTGCAAGTGTAAGAAGTAGTCAGATTCTGGACATACCGTGAATCTAGAATTGACAGGATTTGCAGATCTCATGGTTGTGACAAGAGAGAAATACACGAAGAAGACTTTAAGGCTTTTAAGCCTAAACAGCTGGAAGGACAGTTATCATTTTTGAAGACAGGAATGATTGCCCGAAGAACAGGTTTTTTTGGAGAGAAGGGTGCCGGAGGAGATTGGAAATTCAGTTTTGGACATTTTTTAACATACCTATTAGACATCCAAGTAGGAATATCGAGTAGTCAGTTGGTATACAAGTTATTCTTATTTGGAGGAAAGGTTTGGGCTAGAGATACAAATTTGGGAGTCCTTGGCATATAAATAGCATTTAAGGAAGGTCGTGAGGCTAGATGAGATTACCAAAGGAATTAGTGCAGACTGTAGATTTTTTAAAAAAGGTCTGGGGCATGCCAGTGTTCAGAACCCGAAGAGATGAGTAGAAACCGGATACAGAGACAGAAAGGCCAGCAGATAGGAGCAAAACAATGAGGATGAGGTGTCCTGGAAGGCCAGTGAAGAAGAGAGTCAAGAGGAGGAGGCGATCGGCTGTGCCATGATGCTGACACCTCCAGGAGTGTGAATACCTAGAGTTAACCTATGTACTTTGCATTATCATGGTCACCAGTGACTTTGACAGGAGCGATCAGTAGACCGAGAAGGGCAGCAATCATGTGGGACTCCAGAGATGGGGGGAGGAAAAGAATTGGAGGCAGGAAGCAAAGGAAACAGTTCATTTCTTTCATTTTGCAATCACTTTTGAATAATAAAATAGACAGTAAATAGAACTAGTTATTTTAAATGAATATAACGAAGATTCTTGAAAAGTTTCACAGATGCTAAATAAGGTGTGTACTAATGCGAATACACTGGGTATGTTAATTACAGGTTTACTATGGACCTGGGTCAAACCATACAGAGACCATTTATCAAGTCATGGAAGTTCCTCTCACTATTCCTGACTTAAGGAGTGTGTTCTTTTCTTTTTTCCCCTGCATTCATTGAAATGGCGCTAAGATTTATCCCCTTTATTGGTGTTAGATGATATTGATACATTTCTCTGACAAACCATCCTTTCACTCTTAAGATAAATCCTGCTTGGTCACACAGGTTTTATTACTATTATTGTTCTCATTTTGTGCTTTAAAAAGAATACATTGATTTCTCATTTTATCTTAGATTTTTTAAATCTATACTATAAGATTGATTTTTAATTGTCATATATTGCCGTTGTCCAGTTTTCTTACCAGTTTATATATGCCTGGTAAAATTTAGTTGAGTAGTTTTAAGTAGTAAGCATTTTTTTTCTTCAGTAGTTAACATATGAAAAGATTATCTGCTCCTTGAAGATTCAAGAAAGCTATCTTTGAAAGTACCAGGGTCTGCCATCTCTTAAGCAGGGGACATTTAATTACCAACACAGTCTCTTTGATAGTTATTGGCTTATACAGCTCTTCAGGTTTTGAGTCAGTTTTAGTAACTTTTATTTTCTGAAAAATTATTCATTTTATCTGTTTTCAAATGTATTGGCTTAAAGAACTTTGTGATTTTCTAAAAATCTTTATTCTATCTCTGGTTATGCCATCTTTTTCATCCCTAATGTTCTTCATATTTTTTAGATCAGTTTTGCTATACGTGTCTTTTTTTTAGTACATTTTTCAAGGAACCAACTTTATGTTCTGTTGATCCTCTCTTTCATCAGTTTCATTGAAACAAATTAATTTTCTTTCCTTTCTTATATTCCCTTTAGGTATATTCTCCTCCTCGTCTGTCTTCTTAAGTTGAAATGCTTTGTATCAGGAGACACATAATGTCAGATGCTCCCACTGTTCCTGATGCTCTGCTTGGTCATTTTGGTTCGGGGGATGTCCACTGCCTGTCCTCTCCATTGTTAAAGGGGCACTGTTACTTTTGCAAATGCTAAGTAATCAGCAGGGTGATACTTTGGTTCTGTGAAAATACTGTATTACCCAACATAATTTCACCTAATGAGTTTAACAACCACTAATGATCTTTAACCTAATCAGTTATTTCACTGGGGCTTGCTAATGATTTTTCTGATTCTATTATTCTTTCTACCTTTACTAGCTAGTATTACTCCACAAAGAAGTTTCCTTTTTTGTTGTATCTCTTTTTATTTTAGTTTAGTGGGGAGGTTTTTGCTTGTTTTCAAGCTATCGTGAATTTTTTTCAGTGTATTGCAATTAACTAGTCAATATTCTTTTTGATGCTCAAGTTGTCCCAAATGTGGCTAGTAGGAACCCCTTCAAACCGGCCCTGTGTCCTTTTGACAAGCCTCCATTAATCTTCGAGCATTTTCTCGCTCTCTGGCAGAAGACGTCCGAAGCCTACTTTTTCTCTCTGTGCCTCAGACTTGGAATTAGCCATTTATTCCTGGCACCACCTTCACTAAAAGCAGTCTAGTACCTTTCTATAGTGCCGTTTTTCTGTCTTTAGAGTTACACATTTTTACCATAAAGAATTTATATATTTCATTCTCATGTGTAAGTTTTCATTCCTAAAATGGTTTTGCAGTGGGAAGGGAGTGCTGCTTTTTTCCTCTGATGGAGCGGTCCTGTACGAGTCGGCTTCTTAAAACTGAAAGTGCAGCTTTCCTCACCTTAGTTCCACTGGAACTTGGTTCCCCTGGGGAGCATATCAATTCCATGACTAAGCACAGACAATGACTTAGAATACCCTAACAACCACTGTTGCCCATCTGAATCTCACCCAAATCACAGAGCATCTCAGAAGGAAAAACTCTGAAAATGATTGATTTTCCATTTAATTTGTTTTGATGATTTTTCCATTTTGGTTGTACGTTTAATTTTAGATTGTAAACGCTTTGTGATGAAAGCTGTATTTATAGCCTGCATTCTCTGCAGTGTTGGTAAAGCACCACGGACACACCCGTGCAGTAAATATTTACCAGCTGTCGGAGGTCCTTACCAAAGGCTTAGTGCCCTTCTGGCACAAAGCACTGCACAGTTGTCATCTTTGGCAGAAAGTGGACATTGAAACTCTTGGCTACAGTTCTTTTGCCTAAACAAGGCAAACCTGTGGAGTGTTGAATTATGGAACTCTTTTTATCTGACAACTGGTGTTTTACCTTATATAAATGTTAATAATTTATGTAGTGTTTATGTGCTAGCTGGATGGAGGTCAGCTAAGGTTCTCAGCTGAAGAGACGCTCCCGGTAAGAGAGATGCTTGCTTAGCTTCCATCCATATCTCTGCTTATGCTCATCGACTTCCCATTATTTTTTCTTGTTCTTTCTTTTATAAGGTGAATATATTATTCTTTTCCTTAAACTCAAAGAGAAGCTCTGTTTTATAAAGCATTAATTCACCTTTTCATCTGATAAACAGTTCTATTTGGGGGACTCCTTAGCCCCACGAGAGAAGGAAATTATGGCTAATAAAGATATAAAGGAGAACAAATTTCTTACCATAACTCTTGCTTTAAATAGAGAGTGAACACTTATTAATAAAAATAGTGTCTTCCTCTCCCCTTCACATTTCCCTCCTTTTAGGAGTTATTGCAGTACTTTGTAAAACTCAGGAGACCTTTTTTTTTATACCCATCATTTCTGATAATTAAATATGTAAACATTGATAGGATTTCATTTACTGCTTAATGCTTTTTGTTTTGGGTTTTTTTTAAGAATTCATTTATTTTTAGAGAACGGGGAAGAGAGAGAGAAACATCAGTGTGTGTGGTTGCCTTTTGCATGCTCCCTACTGAGGACCTGGCCTGCAGCCCCGGCATGTGCCCTGACTGGGAATCAAACTAGCGATGCTTTGATTCACAGGCCAGCACTTAGTCCACTGAGCCACACCAGCCAGGGCTACTGCTTCATTTTCTGTAGTATTTGAACATTCTCCAGTGCTTTGTGATAATTCTGCATCTTAAGGATTTATCCATTTAAATTAATAGTGTAGCTATCAAGTATCTACCTCATTTTCTTTGTTGACATTTTCAAAAATATTTTTATTTATTTTTTTAGAGAGAGGAGAAGGGAAGGAGAAAGAGTGGGAGAGAAACATCAATGTGTGATTGCCTCTCATGTGTCCCCTTCTGGGGACCTGGCCTGCAACCCAGGCATGTGCCCTACTGGGAATAAAACTGGCAACCCTTTGCTTCACAGGCCTGTGCTCAATCCACTGAGCAGCACCAGCCAGGGCTCTTTGTTGGCATTTTTAAATGAAAAGGAGATCACTTACTGAAGTTGAAAACCAACATTTAAGACCCGTGAAATGCATACTATTTCATACATATAAACCTAACATTGTAGTACTTGTATGAAAAGGAAATAAGAATTTATCTTTTAAAAGCAAAGGTTTTTTTCCCTTCAAGTTTGAAATATTATGATCATACCAATAAAACTTCTTCCAGGATTTTCCGCCAATTAAACAAGAAAACGAAACATCCCTTTTAGAAAACATGGATGCATTTGAAAAAGTGAGAACAAAATTAGAAACACAGCCACAAGAAGAATACGAAATCATCAATGCAGAGGTAGGATATTTATGACTTTTTAAAAATCTGATACTGGGGGGGAGGAAATGGGATGGAGGCGGGGAGACGGGGCGGGGGGGCTGGGATGGGAGAAATAGGCAAAAAACTGTACTTGAAAAATAAATAAAATTTTTTTTAAAAATCTGATATTACCAGGTTAATAGAGACAATTCAACATCAAAGTTAGACTGCATTTGACCTTTAGAATGTGCTTGAAAACTTAGAGAACAAAAAATAAGTATAGTGGAATCCTTAAAATAAATTACAAAGATCAAAACCAGGATGAATTTCCCATTGTATTTTGTTAATTCTGTTTTGGAAAAATTTCTGTTTTAGATTTTTAAAAATAATTCCAAGAATAAGTTCAAATGAAACTAAGTCATATTTCTTTATCATTTGAAAAGTACTTGCTTGCTGTATCTCTACTACACTTTAGGTAGTGTATATCATTAAAAGCCAAGTATTTATTCGACAATTTTATGGTTAACACAATCATAAATATTCAATTGAAACAGATTAAACATGCATGTTGAAAATTTTTCAGTAAGATTGGCAAACAGAACCACAACTTATAAATGAAAATTGCATACAGAGTAGAGTGGAAATTGCATAAGGTGAAGAAACACAAATTCCAAATTGTCACTACTGGGCAGGTAATAAATGTGTCTTAAGCTACCCGAAATCATATCAATCAATTGTATTTAATATGTAGGTATTAGGAGCACGACTCGTTCTCTCAATGTCAAATTGTGTATATCTGTTACCCACCGAAGATAGGACGCTTTCTGTAACATTAAGTCAAGACCATGAGCAGTTGGTGGTGACCGCACATGTTAGAGGCAAGAATCTCAGGAAGTTACCGACTGGGGCCCCAGCCCAGTCTGAGCCACGGTTTCCTCATCCGCATCATTTTGGATTACCGTAATGGAATCTCTGTTATCTGAATCCCACTACTGGGATATCAGAATCCCTGAAATACAGCCCAAGTGCTGTCCCCTGCAGTCAAGGGAACCGACACAGATTTCATTACATCTTCCCTTTGTTGTCTCTTACATTTGTGTATAAGAAACTTGTTCAGTGATTATGAACATATGAAAATCATTTCTTAACCACTGTGTTTTTAAAAGTGATCCATTTATATTTTTTATGTGTTCATTCATAAACTTCAACAGGTCTGCTTTGATGAAAGGTCTCATTGCCTCATCTTGACTAGTCAGACCGTGAAACAGTTAATTAAATTGAGTCATCCTTGAATTACTAAGTTATTTATTATTATTAAATAAACCGTTCTTTTCGTTGTCAGGTTAAACACGGGGGCTTTGTTTACTATCAAGAAGGTTGCTGCTTGGTTCGTTCCAAAGATGAAGAAGGTACCAAGTCTCCTTTTAACATGCTCTGGTTTGTCAGATTTCACGGTTTTCACAGGAAACTTTATATTCAATTCTCAGTGATATAGAAGGTGTTTTTTAGATTATTTCTGAATTTTTAAAAAACAGCTAGTTTTTAACATCTGGGTCTGTATGAAATATAGTTAACAGCTACATTCAAAAGCTTTGACAGGAAGAATGGAGGTACAAACTTTTTCTTATTTTAATCCTCACTCGAGGACATTGAGAGAGAGAAAGAGAGAGACACATTGATTGGTTGCCTCTAGTACATGGCTTGACCAGGGATCAAACCCTCAGCCCAGACAGGTACCCTGACTGGGGTTAGAACCTGCAACCTTTCAGTTCACAGGATGGTGCTCCAAAGAACCGAGCCACACTGGCCAAGGCACCAGCATTTTTTTAAGCATCTACTATATCCTAGGTACTATGCTACATACTGTTTTATTATTCAGTGTTGTTTACACCATCTTTCTAGGTTCTATATGGTCTATAAATACTAGTCTGTAACAATATCAAATTATCACAAAAGTTGGTGCATAGTATAATATTGAGTAGCATTAAATAACTAATGCCAGTTTCTATGCAAATCAAGCTGCCATTAATGCTGAAGGAAACCCGAATATAGCATCTTATAGACAAGGAATGCTAATTTAAAACATCGAAAGAAATAAATAAATAAAAATAAAAAAACATTGAAATAGCACTTTAAAATATTTTTAAATACATCTTTGGACATTATCTCTTTCATCCTTTATGCAGCAGACAATGATAATTATGAAGTTTTGTTCAATTTGGAGGAACTTAAATTAGAACAGCCCTTCATTGACTCCATCAGAGTTGCCCCTGATGAGAAATATGTAGCTGCCAAGATAAGAACAGAAGATTCTGAAGCATCTACCTGTATAGTAGTGAAGCTCAGTGATCAGCCTGTGATGGAAGCTTCGTTCCCAAATGTGTCCAGTTTTGGTAAGTCACCAGTGCAGACACTCTACTAGGTTGACAAAGCAACAGTAAGAAAATTGTTCACACTTTTGAAATGTTTTCATTGCCCATGTGAGTGAATGAGAACGTGAGTGTCCAATTACTTTACCCCCTTGGACGCCACACCTTGCTCTGTGCCTCTTACTCAGGAGGCCCTCCCTTCTTGAATTATATGTCCAATAACAAACTGGGGAGACATAGGTTTGAACCAACTGATTCATCAATGGGGGTTGTGATATTTTCACTAGTGGGACTAACTTCAGATTCTGTCCGTGATCATTGAATAATACACATGTTCACATTTTATCCTCCCTTGTCATTTTCTGACATAAGTTTCCCCATTGTCCAATAACTAAATGCCTTTGCTTTGAATTAAAATTATACCCTATCCAATTAATCCTCAGACATAAATTGTGCACATTTTAACCTCTCAAAGTCAGGATGCGTACTGTGTAGCGACGTCTTACAGTCACTATCAGCCAGGTGGCAGTCGTGATGTGATTGTGAGAAAACAATCCACTGACAGCTTCTCGTATGACCAAGACCAAGTAAACACCAGCACTGAGTGCACTTGGTGGTTTGAGGTATCCTGTAGCTTGAAGGCAGACAGAAAACTTCTAGGTGTAAGAGAAAATGATTGCAGCGGTTATAGATTTAAACATAATTCATCTTCTGAAAAACAAACAGGACTTCACCGAAGTCTTTCCTAAATAGTGAACATTCACCTCATATTTAGAAACTTTAGTTACCCTGAGACTGATAACTACTTGAAAACTTCGAATTGATGTAGGGAAGTCTTTTACTCACTGGAACGCTCTCCAGCTTATACAGAACACAGGTTATATACAGTCAAAACTAATTTAGATTTAGATTTCCAGGGCTCCACATAACAACATCTCTTTGGGACTCAGAATTAGAATGCACTGTGCATTTTTGTTTTAACCTATAAGTAGGTAGCTATGTATAATTCTTTAATTCCTTGTTTCCCAGAATGGGTTAAGGATGAAGAGGAAGAAGATGTTTTATTCTACACCTTCCAGAGAAACCTTCGCTGCCATGATGTGTATCGAGCCACTTTCGGTGACAACAAGCGTAACGAACGCTTTTACACAGAGAAAGACCCAAGGTACTAGAGGAATGCAATTAAATCTCTTCTCCAAAGCATTTCTCCAATTATCTGAAGCGTCGTTCTTGGTTGACTTAAAACGTTGGTTTGGGCTGGAACCGGATATAAGAAGGCTAAGATGAGCATAAGCATTCTTTTTTATAAGTTGTTCAGCTTTAAAACTAGAAGCTAATTACATTTGAACTCCAGAGTAAACACAGGTACATCATTAGACTGAAAATGAAGAGTTTCTAGCATTCTCCTTGGACTGTGACCGTAAGAGGAGTTGTTGGGTAAACATTTCATAGGGTTGTCTCATAGCATTTTAAATCTCTAAGTCATAACTAGATAGCATGGTGTCATTTGCACGGATTTCACTATTCATTCCATATAGATTACCTGGATTTAAAATTGCTTTGCTTTGAGCCATGATGGCCATTGGTCTTTAAACTTTACATTCCCCAGTACTGTGGTAATTCTTCCTTAGAGCTAATTCTCTTTATTTCCTTGTAATCTCCAGGACTCATGCCTTACATTACTACTTAAGCTTGGAAGGAGCTGGTGGTAAAGTATCTGGTGAAATCCCCGGGCTCTTACCCAGACATACTTTTCCCAATGATTTATGGGAAACTTTTTTTTCTTAACACAGGGGTCCTGTCACCTCATATATCAGTCAACAGTATACTTTAGACAACATCTGAACAGATTTCACAAGAAAAGAAGATGCAATTTAACACTAAATAAATCTGTGGCAGCGAAGTCAATTCCCAAAACAAGAAAATTAACCCTTCATCTCATAAAATTTCAGAGCTTGCGAGGGCCTTCAGGAAAGTCTCACACAATCCCCAGTTTATATTCATAATTTGAGATCTTGAGAAATTACTTTATTCCACCCCATAGAACTGACTTTCCTGGGCCAGTGCTACGGTCATCACTTTTTTCTCATGACGACTCTTTCAATGAAAAATTACCGAAACTAATTTTTTAAATTTTTCATTGATCTGTTTTTAGAGAGAGAAGAATGAGAGGGCGAGAGAAACAGAGAACATCAGTTTGTTGTTCTACTTAGTTACGCATTCATTGGTTGCTTCTTGTGAGTGCCCTGACAGGGGATCGAACCCCCAGCCGTGGTGTGTCAGGACAGTGCCCTAACCAACTGAGCTACCCAGCCTCGGCCCAAAACTATTTGTTCATATGATCCATTGCCCTGTGTGTCAGTGGTCAAGGCTATCTTTTGAAGATGATAGTTTAAGCTAGTAATTTATTTTTTCTATCAGTGACTTAAGATCATGAATCATTTTCCACCTTGTGATTGATTAAAGATTGAAATTGAAAAAACAAAACCAAAAACTTCAAAACTCACTGAGTGAGCTATACTTTTGAATAAGGTACATCCTTGTCACATGTTGTTACTGTTTAAATTCTAAGTTTAAGCAAGTTATGTATACATTTAAGATTCTTGGAAGGTATTTGGCTTCTAGCACGCTTTTTCTTCCCCGAGGGGGAATGAAGCATAATTAAATAGGTTTAAGCCTAGTTTGGCTTGCAGCTCCCTGATCGACTTAGCACAGTGCTTTCCCAGAATCTTAAATGTATGTATGGTAACTCACTCCTTTATATTTTTCAGTATTTTTACTATGAATTAACTTTTACAATAAGGCAACATGTAAATAACATTTAAGGCCATCCATTGTGTCAGTGTGAATTACTGTAATTCTCTTAAGATATTATTTTATTATAATTATCAAGAATCATAAAAATATTTTTTTCTTTTTTGGAGAAAGGGTCCCCCCTAGTTTTTTTTAAAGATTTTATTTATTTATTTTAGAGAGATGAGAAGGGAGGGAGACAGGGATAGAAACATCAGTGTGTGGTTGCCTCTCGCACACCCCCTACTAGGGACCTGGCTCACAACCCAGGCTTGTGCCCTGACTGGGAGTTGAACTAGTGACTCTGGTTCACAGGCCAGCACTCGGTCCACTGAGAATCATAAAAATACTCCTAATCGTTAAATTAGTATTTCCATTCCTAAGAATTTATCCTAAGTAAATAATTGTAAAGGTCAGAGAGAGGGAAACTCCTTTCTTGAATATGTTGCCTTTTATGTCCTTTATTACAATAAAACATTAAAATTTAAATTTTTAAAAATTATTTTAACCTGGTAGAATAGTAGGTGGTCATTAAAAATAATATCATAAAGACTATGTAACTAAAGTGGGGGAAGATGACTGATACTATGTGACATCAGAAGAATGCAGAATCCAAAATTGCATCTATGTTTTTAATCTCTATTTAAAGACATGCATAAAATACAAATAAACACTAGAAGAAAAAGGTAGAAAAATAATTATATTAATTTTTTAATGTGTTAGGTTAGTGAGACTGTGAAGATTTGTTTCCTGACTATTGTTCTGTTTTGTAAATACTAGGAGAAAAAAACCAAAATCCATCATGTACACAAAAGAAAAACAAAGTAAACTATGTCCCTTTTCTGACCTGCAATTAATTACATGTGTCCTGTAGGAAGTTTATTTCCTCTTCTAGTAAAAAGCCCTATAACCTATCAACATTAATGTACTTGAGAGTCAAATGGTGTCTGTACTTTACCTTGACATGCATTTAAAAAAAGGTAGGTTGACAATATGTGGATATGTGATAATGTATACAGCAAAGTGTTAATAGTTAAATCTCAGTGGTGGGTATATGGGTATCTTACATTTCTTTCAACTTGTCTGCATCTTTGAAAAATGTTTATAATAAAACGTAAGACAAAAATATTCTGAATGTTTGGGGGAGACTGAGAAAAATAATACTATTTTAGTCTACAAGCAGAATTCACTAAGGAGTTGTTTATATTTTCCATCTGCATTATAAGTTAACATGTATGGTAAACACCTGTGAAATACTTTCATTAACAAGGCACCATGCATTTGAAATTTATTGGGTTTTCACCTCTCTCTCTCTCTCTCTCTCTCTCTCTTTGTAGCTATTTTGTTTTCCTTTATCTTACAAAAGATAGTCGTTTCCTCACCATAAATATCATGAACAAGACCACCTCGGAAGTGTGGCTGATAGATGGCCTGAGTCCTTGGGACCCACCAGTACTTATCCAGAAGCGAATACACGGGGTCCTTTACTACGTCGAGCACAGAGATGATGAATTATACATTCTCACTAATGTTGGCGAGCCCACGGAATTCAAGGTGACACGAGAGTTCATTGTTCTGTAGGCTTTTGGTAAAGTGTAGAAATCAACAGACACCACCTTCCTCCGCATAACCAACCCCATTTCTCTTCCCTTAGAGCTAATACCTCTACATATTTTAATTGTGCCTTAAAAGGATAGTAAATAAAACATACTCTGTCCTAATTAGATCAGTCACCAAAGCCAAACCAAGTAGCTTAAAAGAGCAAACTATAAATTCGTGATTTTGTGAGGTAGCCATTTGAATCACCCTGGGCGAGGCAGTCCTTGGGTCGGGCGCGGCTGTCAGCACCCACACTCAGCTGTCCATCAGACTAGCCTAGGCCGTGCTGACGGCCACACGCAGCCCTGACGCAGCGGTCTCTTTCAGCTCCTCACAAGACAGTGAAGGGTGGTATGTCTAGTTTTCGGTGGTTTCATCTATGAGCTCTGGATCTTGCGGTCATGATGTTCTGTTACCTGGGTCTCCTCTAACTTTGTTCCACACAGCTAATGAGAACAGCAGCAGATACCCCTGCGATTATGAACTGGGATCTGTTTTTCACAATGAAGAGAAATACCAAAGTCGTAGACTTGGACATGTTTAAGGATCACTGTGTTCTGTTCCTGAAGCACAGCAATCTACTTTATGTTAATGTGATTGGTCTGGCGGATGATTCAGTCCGGTCTCTAAAGGTATGTTTAATTGTCAGAAGATAATACTGTTAATGAAAGTGCACGCAGTTAGCTTAACCAGAAAGTCAAATTTTCAATAACAGCAATGTACTTTTTCTTAAAAGAATTTACATGGAATTTAGCATAGTAGGTGTTTCTCAGATTTAGAAGTGTGTCTCTTTCTCTATATCACATGTTTCTACAGCGTCAGATACAGTAATAACGCAGGCCAGCCTGGCAGCTCGGGCCCAGCCACCGTCTTTTGCTCCCATCCCACACCCCGAGTAGGGACACTGGTCATGCCAACTGTTTGTGCCACTGCTTGCTTGCTCCTGCATCATCTCATTGCCAGTTTCCTCACCCAGAGCATCAGGAAGGGTGAACTCTGATTTCTTTCAGTAAGGGGGTGGTGGTGGTCTCCACTACAACACAGCTGTGATGCTGGCGCATCTTCCTGGCAGGCCAACTCACTGACACTGCTTGTGGCTGCCAGGAAGGAGAATCTGCTTCCCCCGGTGAACTTGCAGTGGCACCCTTATTGCCCCATTTTAAAGCAGCATTCACGAGTTAAGATACCCAGCACTGCAGGGGAGAGGAGAGGCCTCCATTTTGCTTGGTATGGAAGGAGCTGTAGAGCACTGGCTGGTGTGGCTCAGTGGATGGAGCGTTGGCCTACGAACCAAAAAGTTACTAGGTCAATTCCCGGTCAGGGCACATGCCAGGGTTGTGGGTCAGGTCCTCAATCGGCATAAAAGCAGCAACCAGTTGATGTTTCTCTCACACATCTGTGTTTCCCTCTCTTCCTCCCTCCCCTCTCTCTAAAAATAAATAAAATGTTTTTAAAAAGGGGGGAAAGAGTTGTGGAGCCAGTTGACCAGCAAGCACACATCACTTCACTCCCCTAACTGCAGTATTGTCCTAATTTCTATTCAAATGCAATTCCAGTAAGTCTGCAGGGTGTTTACTGACCTTCAGTGTGCAAAGCACTGTATTAGGCACTCTGGAGTGGAGAGACAGGGCAAAATATCTGGCCTAAAGGAGAGACGGTTTATCACGAGATTCGACGAGTACACGAAGTCAGTATGAGGTGGATTCAAATCAGTGGCATCAGGAGTGAAGGAGAGAAAAGTCACTGTTAGAACACCACAGTGATAGTTGCTGTAGGCAAGATCCACTAACAGGTGCTAAAGTAGGGGGCGTAAGTTCAAGGATAAACCTCCTAAGTCTTCGTAAGAGGACCAGCATCACCCACAAAGTATTTATGAATTACAAAGGGGAAAACAGCACTTCGCAGTGGAAAGCCTGGGAGAAGAACGAGGTTGACACCATGGGTGAGAAGATCTGTCGGCATGTGCACCCCTCTGGTTTTCTTGCTAGAAATGTATGACCTCAGTTTGTTCGTGAAGAAACACCAGTCCAGATAGAAAGACATGCTACCAGATAATCGCCCTGTATCCTTTAAAATTACCCCAGAATCCAGAAAGTCAGACTGAGGGACTTTGGCGACTGGGGGAGACCTGACAACTAGATGTAATGGGGAGCCCTGAATTGGCTCCTCGGGCAGGAAAGACATTGGTGGAAACACATATAGGTGAAATGTGGATATTGTGTCTAGTCCAGTAAATAGTAAAAAGTAATAAATAAGTGATATCGAAAACACAAACTGTGCTGTGGGGCCCAGAGGAGAGGAAGAAGGCCCAGGAAAGCTGCTTATAGGGGAAGCAGAATTTGAGATAAAGCAAAGACAGGATTTTGGGTGGGGGGATGGCACTCCAAGATGGGGACGTCTGTCAAAGGGCTAAGCTGGAGAAGCTCAGAAAATGTTCAAGAAACTGCTCGTAATTCGGTTTTTTCAAAGCAGAATAAATTTTGGGGGGGAGGGGTGAAGCTATGATTTGACAGTTTTAGATTGTCAAGGTGATGAATTTATTAATAAATAATGAGGAGGGGGAACGTTTGAAATTTGGGGGCAAGAAGTAATTTGAGGGGGCAAGGCACGTTTCCTGAGGTTGTGTGGCGGCGGCCCGAGGTACTGCGCAGGGAGGTCAGTTTTCAAATTGTTAAAGTATCAAATAAGTTACAAGGGCCTAAGACAAGCAAAATTTTCCAGCTGCCTCATAAAATCGAATTATCAAATGTAATGTCTGGTGTCTTAGAAGACTGTAGAGTTGCCCTAAAACAGAAATGGTTATTTAACTTTAGTGAATTTTTACTGCTTTCATCTACTGGATTCAAAGTGTGTCTTTTCACTTGCTAATTGATGCCGAAGTCAGACAGCTTCCATTGGAAACTGGCAGAACGTCTCCTCATATTGCAGCCTGTGTGAATACAGATGGGAGAAGATAATTTATAGCAGTGCATTTGTTACAACACAGTTGTATCAAGAAAATTAGGAATGTCATGAAAATATGACCTTTTACGTTTTTTGTATTTCTAGTTTCTCTGGTTTTAACTTGCATTAGAAGAGGCATCGTGTCTTTAATTTCTTCTATATGTGCTATTTCATTCCCTAACCCTTTCCAACCTGTAGTACTTGTTATGCCACATGTAATGGCCTTGAGTCATCACCACACGGAATCTAATGCTGTCTTTCTACCAGGTGCTACTTAGAGAGCATTTCAGGGATCAGAGCCTTTTCATTAACTTTGTGATACCAATTAATATGCAAAGACAGTGCTATATACAAAGGACAAAATCTTTAAGCCAAACTATGAGTGGATTATAAAGTATTTCTGTTGTAACATCTCTGCCCAGTGGGCACTTGACTAAAATACCTTTTTAAACTCAATCTCAGCAATAGAAACATAAAACCCTTAATATACTTGTCTCCTATAGTTAGGCATGTCATCCGTATTTCCTAGTATTTTTTTTCATAAAAAGTTATGATAGTTTAATTGGTTATGGTATTTAAGCAGATTGGGAAGTTTTTTCATCTGTGTTAACTTCAGTGTATTTGGGGGCACGTGCGTCCTTGAATTCTCTTGCAGCATTTACATGTTAATCATTCTTCCAGTGCAGTTGCTGTGAGTTGCTGGTCAGTTACCAAAGGTGAACCTATCTGTCAGGTGTCTGGGAGTTGCCATCTGCATGTCACCTCCCTGACTTAGAATTATTCTTGGGTGCTGTCCATTAATACAGGTGAACGGTACTGCAGGCTTATCCAAGTAGGAAATGTAGTTTTAAGATATTCTTGAAATCTTTAATACCTTACTTCTGCATGAGGCAGACAGGCTTTAAAATGTCTATAACCTTGGCACAGTTTTTGTTATGGTTAAAACTTTAACCTTGATCCATTAGTTTAAGAAATACACCCAAAAGACTTTTTAGTTTATTGGAACCAGTTGGTGTAACACCAAAACAGCTCACTGCACAGATCACACGGAAACTTTCAAAGTCTCACAAAGGACAGAAAACTCTCGAGCCTCTGTGGGCTGAGGGCCCCTGTGCCCGCCGTCTGAGGCCGGGTGACAAGGTGAGCGGCAGGGTTCCCTGTTCCCGGCACGGCCTCCGTGTGCCCGCCTCACACGCTGTCAGACTGCCCCACTCTCGTGATCCCATTTTTCTTTCTGGTCGTGGCTTGCACTTAAATATATTGCCCTTGAAAATGATCCTCAATCTGAGGAGAATAAATGTGCACTCCTGTAAAGAAATACTGCAAATGTATGTCCTCATTAGTGTTTCAGGAAAATAGATTCTTTGGATTAATCACAAGAACTTTGCTCTGTAAACATCAGCCCTTCGCTGTACTTTCTACAAGGTCAATGGTGCACTTTTCATGCACGTCCCCAGCCACCCCTCCTGAGGAGCACCCACCGGTGACTTTGCTGGGCCGGGACCTCTGATTTCCTCAGGAATTTGCTCTTTCCACAATTGCTTAGGAAAAGAAAGGCAATTTTCTTTTAATGTCCCGACTCTCAGTACCATTTCTAACACACTGTCAGCCTGCTTACCAGAGTTCTTTAAAAGGTATAAAAAGGATGTTAGTGGAAGGCTTGAACAGGACCCTGCTGCTCGGAGAGAATAAATTTTGATTTCTTTCCTTTTTTTTTTTTTTTTTAAAGTTAAGGATCTTAATCATAACAGCTCTGAGTCTCAGAGTGAATGTATGGGAAAGGTTTTGTTCTGCACAATGGTTAGCCGGGGAGCTAGAGTTTGACGCAGATTGTAAACGCTCGCGTGCTGCTGAGCCAGTTTGCTGCCCGGAGTAATGACTGCCATCACTGGCTGGCCTGGCAGCGGAGCACGGGCTGGCGGGTGAGGTGGGAGAAACGCATGGCAGAGATGTCCTGCTCTGTGAGAACAAGAGACCTTGGAGATGTCACTCCGTTCTGGAATTGCTGTTTGATGTGCTATTGTTCATCGTATTGCTGGAGATGGTTATGCTGAGTGAAATAAGTCAGTCAGAGAAAGATAAATACCAGATGATCTCACTTATATGTGGAATCTAATGAACAAAAGAGAAACCTAGGCATGGACCCAGGGAACAGACTGACAGCTGTCAGAGGGGAGTGGGGGAGGGCACCGGATGAACGAAGGTGAAGGGATTAACCCAGAAACGGATATGCATAGTGCACGGACACCAGTGTGGGGACAGCCCAGGGAGGGGTGGGGGCCAGGTGGAGGTGGGCACAGGGGAAAGGTGGACGGAAAGAGACTTTGCTTGGGGCGGTGGGCGCACGATGCAGTGTGCAAATGATGTTTTATTGAGGTGTACACTTGCAACCTGTATGGTTTTGCGACCAGTGTTGTCCCAATACACTCAATTAAAAAATTGTTTTGCTGTTATTTTCTTGCCCAAGTTTATACCCTAAAATAAACTTTTTCATTAGTGATTTCATGTAAATCCAGAATCATGATAAACCATTATCCTATCATTTTTCCTTATTTTATTGGTCATTGGTGTAGAGATTTCTTTGTTTTTTTACTTGAAATGAATTTTGTTGTGATAAAGTAATGCTTAAATGAAGCGTTATGTGATCATGGATAGAAGTAAACTTGATGTTCACATTATCTTGTTTGGAGCAGACCCAGGAATTTAATTAATTAATGATACTTAGTGTCTAGATAAGGAATAAAAATAACTTTTATTTCTTTAGCTCCCTCCTTGGGCCTGTGGATTCATAATGGATACAAATTCAGACCCAAAGAACTGTCCCTTTCAGCTTTGCTCTCCAATACGCCCCCCAAAATACTACACGTACAAGTTTGCAGAAGGCAAACTGTTTGAGGAAACCGGGCACGAAGACCCAATCACGAAGACGAGCCGTGTTCTGCGTCTGGAAGCCAAAAGCAAGGTGGGTCTGGATAATCGCCACTCCCGGCCCCACTTACTGAAAGCCGCCTGTTCGTCCAGTGTCGGGCAGTTGCTGGGCAAATCGATTTTGTGAAGTCGATCTCCTACCATAAGACCTACATGATTTCAGGGAATACATGGGGGGTTGTTGTTGTTGTTTTTAAGACTAAAAAATTCAAAACTAGCACATCAAGCTTTTCATTTCAACAAATGCAAAAACAGAAGATAGGAAGTTTAAATGACTACTTTTCAGTCCATTTTGTATACCTCTTTTAAAAAATCATTGTTAATCATTTAATGTATTACCTTCCAGATTTTTGTGTTTTTTGGCAACTAAATATGTATGTTTAGGCTTTGTTTTGTTTTACAAACAGTGGGATTTACACCACTCTGTCAAAATACTGTAATTATTGTACCCCAGATGGAAGCTAAGCTCTCAGAGAGCCAGGGGCTGGTTAAGAAGGGAAGCAGCGGCTGAGCGCATGTGCTGCTGTAACTTTGCAGGCACTCGCACCTGCTGGTGAATGCAGGGACCCAGCCCGTGTGGGACTGCTGCCATCCTGGCCTCTTCCTCTCCATATGTTTTCAACCAGCAAGCATTTCTCTGCTTGTTTCACTGAAGTTGGGGAGGAGGTAAGGAGATGAAAAGACCAAGATTATTCTATAGAAATCACTCTACATCATTGTATAAGAACGAATTGTACTGAGAAGTGAAAACTGTTATACTGTTGAACAAGTGTAGTACAGTAAAGAATAATAACAGAAAGAGTTCCTCCTTATTAGATAACACTCTGGGGCTCCGAAGTGAAGTGTTTAAAATGAGAATGAAAACAACAGGAGACACCCTGACTGGTGTGGAGCGTTGGTTGGGCGTCCAACCACAAAGGCAAAGGTCACAGCTTGGCTTCCCCTGTCAGGGCACACGCCTGGGTTGTGGATTTGTCCCATCCCGCTGGGGACGCATGGGAGAGGCAACCAGTCCATCCACGTTTCTCTCCCTCCCTTCCCCTCTCTCCAAAAGTAAATTAATAAAATCTTTTAAAAAAAATAGGAAGAATGGTTTGGTTATATTCCTTTCCTCCTGTAAACTAGTACCGTTTCATTAGTTTCTGTCAGTAGGGTGAGAACCCACTCTCCCACCCTATTTCAATGAAAGGAAGATTAGAAATAGTTCAGATTATTTTAATTTTGTCCAGGGAGTGCCTAGTTTCAGTCAATTGGGATTTGAAGAACATGGGCTACACTGGGGAGTAGTTACTTGCCCTAAAAGTAACTCAGGTATTAAAATTTATAAAACTTACCTACAGCTCTTGCCAGGCAGCTCAGCTGGTGGGAGCGCTGTCCGGGTGTGCTGGGGCGGGTGTGCTGGGGCTGTGGGTGTGGTCGCTGGTCCAGGCACCCGCAGGGGTCAGCCAGTGAATGCGTGGGTGGGCGGGGCAATGGGTCCGCGTCTGCCTCCTTTTTCCTCTCTAAAATCAGTAAATAAAAAGTTTTTAGAAACTTACTTTTAAACATTTAAAAAATAAAGCTCAGTAGACTTTTGAGGAGGCTGTGGGTGATTATCGGTAAGGTCAGTCCAAGATTTCACATGCTAATGTTGAGACTTCTGTAGTTCACTTTTTTGTAAATATATTAAGGTGAAAAAGGTGCTGGTATGTAGCCCCAGGTACAGGAATCACGTCTGGCCTTAATAGGTGTTCGGGCTTGTCCCGAAAGAATGCAGTAGTATGGGGTAGTGAAGAACTCTTTAAAATCATTTTGTTGTCACAAAAAGCTGCATTTAATAAAGTGGGTTCAAGTCATAGTCTTGCTGCTCTTTTCTAGTTAATGTGACAGGCCAGCGAATCCGCTGAGAATAACAGATTTTGAAGACCATGACTCTGTCTTAATTATAGTATGTTTCTGCTCCAGATCAATAAGCAGGACATGAACTAGGGATAAAAAACTTTTAACTTTTAAAGTGCTCTTTTTCACATGCATAGTCAATCTTCGTTTCCAGGACGGGAAATCAGTGCCCATGACAGTTTTCCACAAAACGGATTCCGAGGACCTGCAGAAAAAGCCTCTCCTGGTGCACGTGTACGGCGCGTACGGCATGGACTTGAAAATGAACTTCCGGCCTGAAAGGCGGGTGTTGGTGGACGACGGATGGATATTAGCCTACTGCCATGTTCGGTGAGTCGGCACCTGGAACCTGTCGTGTGAGTGCTGGTGCACTGTCACCGATGTCCCGGAGAGCTGTGTCGGGGGCAGGAGTGTTTTCCCACTCACGTTGCTGAATTCCTGTTCTCCCAGACCCATGCTTGTGGAGCCTGATCTGGTAACATTAGTTGATCCAAAAGGCAAAAAGATACATTTTTTACCCTTTTGTACCAGATTTTTAGGATTTTTAGAATAATACCAGGCTTTTATTTAGTAACATTATTATTTCCATTCAATTTTCCTGAGTTTAGGGTTTTCTAAAATAGCCTCTTAAGCTGAACTCCTTTTTTCTACTCTGACTTCCGTTTTATTTCAGCTGTGTTCAAGACAAATATTATTTCATTTCTGCTTAAGACCTTCCACCACCCTCCCCATGTCCACAATAAAATCCAAATTTCTCAGGATAGTACTTCACGTCCCAGTGATCTCGCCTGCCTCTGCAGTGGCATGTGGCATCGCTCCCCACACGTCCTGTGCTCCCGCCGCACACGTCCCACACGTCCAGTGCCCCTGCCACATCCTTTCAGGGGACAAGCTTTATGCCCTCTGTGCCCTGGCACATGCTGTGTCTCCATGCTCTCTCTTCTGGGAATTCATAATCTTCCTTCAAGACTCAGCTTAAGTATTATCTCCATCTAAAGCATTCGTGTTCCTGACTCACGAATGTGCCCCTAACCTGACAAGTGGATGTCCCTTCCTCTGCTTCGGTGACGCCTTAAATACACTCGTGTTACAGCAGCAGCATGTTGCCTGGTAAGGCACGTTACCTTCCCCACAAAAGTATGATCTTCTCCAGGGTAGGGGATTTTTGCTCATGTGTATTTTTAGGGCCTGCATTTAGCACAGTGTCTGGTAAATAATAAGCAGGCACTCAAAACATACTTGTTGAATCAGTTTTTGATTGTCTCTATCAGGGGTGAGCAAAGTGTTCTCTAAAAAACCAAAAATTATAAACATTTTAGGCTTTGCAGCCCATATAAGGTCTCTGCTGCATATTCCTGGTTGGGTTTTTTTCTCCCAAGCTTTAAAAATGTGAAAACCATTCTTAGCTTGAGGGCTATACAAAACAGGCCTCCGGGGAGATTTGGCTCACAGGCTATAGTTTGCTGACCCCCAACCTATATTACTAATTTTTTCCCCACTAAAACCTTTTTGCCCTTTCATTGCAGGGGCGGTGGTGAGCTAGGCCTGCAGTGGCACGCTGATGGCCGTTTAACTAAAAAACTCAATGGCCTTGCCGACTTAGAAGCTTGCATTAAGACACTTCATGGCCAAGGCTTTTCTCAGCCAAGCCTAACAACCCTGACCGCTTTCAGTGCAGGAGGGGTGCTTGTGGGAGCACTGTGCAATTCTAATCCAGAGCTCCTGAGAGCCGTGACTTTGGAGGTGAGTACACGCTGTCTCTCGCTATGTACAGGCTGGGGAGGCACGGAGCCACAGGCTGCTCTAAGGAAAAAAATTAAGTTTCACCATCCGCATATGAGTGTAACAAAGCTGTTAAACACAGAATTGTAGGTCTGGGAGAACTTGTAAAATTATTTTAATCCAACTACTGATTTACTTACTCTTCCCTGACAGTGTTCTTTATTCATTTTTAAGGACTTTCACTGAAGGATGTTAATGGCTATTCCCACTGATCGTTTTTATTTGTAAGACCATTTAGTCTGGGGGGCGGAGACAAAGCAGGTATGACTTGTCAGTTCCAGGACGCAGAGCAGAGCGCTCTGTGACTCTGGAATGCCCCAATTTGTTGACTCTCGCTTATCAGCATTTCAGTCCTGGATTTAGGGGCTCTCTATTTTTAGGTGCTCCGTTCTTAATGGTCATTGGGGTTAGTTTTTCTACACTTAAATTAAAACGTCTTGCTCTTTTCTAAAAATGCTTGATAGTCATTTCCTGGTACCTGGAATGATGATGTTATAGCAGCTCATGTCACCTGTCATTCTCCTGCTTCTTGGTTAGATACTCTAGAAAATACGACTGGGATGAGCAGAGTAAATTATTTTTAGACTTTTTTTTAATTTTGAGGGTGTGGAGTATATACACTGTGGGTTTGTATTAAGTAAATGTGTTAAGTAATCTTGAACTGTAAATCTGCTTTTTAAGTAGAAATGCTAATTGTAGGAGAAAAATCTATCCACAAAGATGATAATGGCAGAATCATTTACAAAATAAAGAAAATGCAATTAACCTTTGACTTTTAGAAATTATGAAATGAGGTATGTACGTTTAAGTATCCTGAAACGTACATACCTCATTTCCCACATTGCTTTATAATAGTGAAGAACTGGACTCACCTATGTACGCAGCAGCGAGTATCTGTATATGAGTCAGAGTTCTTAATCAGAACCACCAGAAACCAGCTCCTGACTAATTTAAGCAGAAAGGGGATTTATTAAAGCATATTGGGCAAGGGTGGGTATAAAACCAGTCTCAGAGGCTGCACAGCTGGACACATGTCCAAAATATGCCATTAAGCTGTCCCCGGATGCTCTCACTGCCACCACTGCTGGGCACAAGTCACCTCACACCGCTGGTGTTGCTTCTAGAAACTCAATATAGCTGTAGCAGTTTTGCCAGAGTAAATTCTCCGTGTTCCCTACTTCTTTGAGCCAGTAACTTCCCATTGAGAGTTTGATGCACATTATGTCTGACTGGTGGACCTAAGCCCTGTGGTTACTCTCGCGCTGCAGGGAATGCTGGGAGAGGAACCGTCTGGCATTTGGTGTCTCTGCAAGGAGAGACAAGCTGCCTCAGAAGGTTTGGGAGGCTCTACATGCAGAAAGGGAGTCAGATGTTAGGCAGCCAAAAAGAATTACATTTGCCTGCTGTGTATGTCTGGTTAATGTTAATATGAGAGAGGGTTGAAGTGCATGCTAACAAGACTGTGAGGCTAAGTGAAAAAGCAGCTGCCATTTTATTACATGTTTAACACTGGTTATGAGCCAGTGAGTGATTTTTCTCATCTTTCAACCTGGATATTGTCCAGATTTCCTTCAATTAGCATTTATCTTTATTTTAATGTATAATATCCATCTGGTGAAGAGGAGTTTATTCATGTGTCACTGAGTGTCTATTTTTCATTTTTAATCGTGGTAAAATAACAAAATCGACCTCCTCACCATTTTTAAGTGCACAGTTCAGGGGTGGTGGGCACATTCACGCTGCTCTGCAGCCAATCTCCAGGGCTCTTCACCTGCAAAACTGAAGCCCCCTACCCGCTAAGTAGCAGCTCTGCAGTCCCCCTCCCCCGCTGTTATACTTTCTGTCTCTCTGAACTTGGCTGCTCTAAGGTACCTCCTGTGAATGGAATCAGAGTATTCGTTGTTCCACTCAGATAGATGTAGTGTCCTCAAGGGACACTTGAGGCACTGTGTGTTGTGGCACGTGTCAGAATTTCCTTCAGTAGGAGCTGGCCATCCTAGTGGACGTGAGGTGGCAGCATTTATTACTTTTACATAAAAATGTATGCGTGTGAATAAAAGGCACAAAAATTGTAAAATTAGAAAATAAACCCATTTATATATATATGTCACTTAAGAGGGTTATATTTTTATATAAATGTCATAAAGTCTGAATCCCTTGAAGGCCGGTTACAGACGCCAGGCCCTGGGCAGGACCGAGCCCTTGGTCTGGCTCCCGGAGCTCACGTGGCTTCTTGAGCTGTGTCCTCGTGCCGGCACGTGTGCCCCTAATGTATGTTTCCCTGAAACTCATTTCACTGACCTGTCAAAGTTGAAGTTTCTTTGGCCTTTTTTTTTTTTTAGGCACCTTTCTTGGATGTTCTCAACACCATGATGGACACCACACTTCCCCTGACATTGGAAGAATTAGAAGAGTGGGGGAATCCTTCTTCTGACGATAAACACAAGAACTACATAAAACGATACTGTCCCTATCAAAATATTAAACCTCAGGTAGTGAGAGATAGTTATGACGTCACTATCCAGAAGTGACAGGATAATCAAAAGGGCACCCACCTGAGCGGAGGCCTGAGCACCGTCAACCTGGAGCTTGTCCCTCTTGATCAGACCCGAGCAGCTTTCTGCACTGCCCACGCTGCACGTTCATTTCAGCACGGCCGTGGTCTCTCTGGTCAGGAAAAGGCTATTCCGGGTAGCAAGTAGACCAGTGCTGGAGTACCGTAGCTCTCTCAAGATATCCAATAAGAAAAACAACGTCTAGCACTAAGGGGGGGAAATGGGAGGGCATCATTTTTCATAATCTGTGAGGTAGAAGGAGGCCATAGGAATAATAAAAAATTCTTTGTGCATCGATTTTCTCGCAGCATTATCCTTCAGTTCACATCACAGCTTATGAAAATGACGAACGCGTGCCTCTGAAAGGAATCGTAAACTACACTGAGAAGCTCAGGGAAGCCGTTGCAGAGCATGCTAAGGACGCCGGTGAAGGTAGGAGGCCACCCAGAAGCAGGGACACAGCTGAACGGACTTACCTTTTGCGTAACGCTCAGAATACTGTTCTATGTACAGACCAAATCCTCACCCTGGGATTTGGGACAGACTGACTACTAATGGAAGCGTACATTTTAACTGTAACCGTCCTGCCGCTTTTTCGGAGGACAGTATTAAAATAAGGTAGGCAAGGCACCAAAAAAAGTAAAATTAAATAGCAAATGCAAATTGGAGGTATACTCTCTGTCATACAGCCATTCATTTACTTAATAGTATTAACTGAGCCATTGTTCTTGGGAACCTCTAAAAAAACAGATTCTAAAGTTTTCGCTATAGAGCTGCAGTGTCCAAACTAGCAACTTTAACTTTCCCTAGATCTTAGTATTTTATTAACAAGAACTCTTACCCATTTTCCTTGCCGAGACGTGCCAAGACCTTCAGGACGCGGCGGTAGGGACGCACATTCAGGTGTTGAGGCAGCCGCCCCGCGGTCAGCTCTGCCCCCCCCCCACCACCACCACCACTGTAGTTGGCGTTTCCTAATCTCAAGACTCTCAGGCTCCACCGGCTTCCTTCTCCGTCACAGCCTCGTCCCTGTGGCCCTACGGTCTCTTCCAACAGCCACTGGTTCCCCTCCTGCTTTCCCGGTTTCAGAAACTTACCTTCTGCTTGCCCCTTCCAATCTCTTTGTAGGCAGTGCTGGTTTATGCCTTTATCCCTCAGTTATTTTAATAGATTAGTTGGGAAAAGAGGGAAGAATAGGCCTCGGTTGGCCAAAAACTTTTTAATTGTTTTATCTGTTAACTTTTCCAGGCTATCAGGCCCCCAATATTATTTTAGACATTCAGCCTGGAGGCAATCACGTCATTGAGGATTCTCACAAAAAGGTATGTCATCGAGCCCCTCTCAGTTGCCAGACCCCCCGGTAGAGAAGTCTCCGCCTCCACATTGAGGGGTTGTGGCAGGGGTTGTGACAGCTGCTTTACAAGGGCTGGGCTGTGACCAAGACCCAAGAGGGTGAGGAACAGCAGACTCAGTTGGGGAGGAGCCGCCCTCTAGCGCTTGTGGGCTCCGTTAACTTTAATCATTGGGAGCCTCTGCCACTGTCCCAAATAAAAGTGTCCCTGCCGTAAATCACCAACTTTGGGGTTGGGTGAAGAAGGTGGACAGACAGGCTTTAACGCTGCAGTTTTACTACAAAGGCCTTCATTCCGATTTGTCTAATGTCTCTTTTAGATTACAGCTCAGATTAAATTCCTGTACGAGGAACTTGGACTTGACAGCACCAGTGTGTTCGAGAATCTTAAGAAATACGTAAAATTCTAAAATGATGTATTCAATGGGAATTGGGAACATTGAAGTGTTTTCTAGTTTTACTTGCTATCGGGTTAAACAAAAGTGACCTTTTTTTTAAGTTAGTGAATAGTTTATACAAATTTGCTTCTCTTTCCAAATTTTGTTTAGTGTACATCTTGCTTGTGCTGTTCTCTCCTCGGTGTCTATGCTCCTTAACCTGGGAAAGTAGTCTTCTAATCATGCTCCTTAGAAGGACGTGGAGCAGGGGGTGGGGGAAGGATTGGTCACGGTCACGGTAGAACACCAACCCCCCCATCAGAACAGCTCCATTTTTGTCTGTTTTACTGAAATTTTCTTTGAACATTTTGCAAATCAAGGCCCTGCCTCTTTGCTAGTGAACATTTTTGGTGGTAAGTCACCCTCTAGTTCCTGTGCCTGTATTTTATGGAGTAAGAACATTCTTCACATTAAATGCATTAGATCTTTCTAATAATCTGGAGTCCTAAGGCATTCTGATGATCTCGATGCTATCTCAGTAACGTTACGAGTTCCTGCAAACGATTGTTTTCTTTAAAACATTTTATTATTATTCTTTAAAAACATTGGAGAAGTTTTCCTGAAGCAGTTACATTCAAGTTCATCAAGTTTACCTAGCAGCACGCTATACATGAAATCAATGCAAACGCTTAGAACAGAGCCGAACACCAGTGCCGCCATCCCCATCACGGGGGCGGCTAACACGAGCGGTACAGGATGTTGAGCGCACTGGAGTAGCACGCCCGGCTGGAGACGAAGCATCTGTCTCTGCTGCCCGGCTGGTGGTGGAGGAGGCCCGTTGCGCTATATTCAAGGATGAGGCCTTCTCCCTTGTCCGCCGTGACAGCACTGGTATCGACTTCCCTTCCTGTGTTGGTGGAATTGGTACTTAACCTTATGCTCACTTTCGAGGGAATATTTGAAATCATGTCCTTCAGGTTTAGCTGGGATGATTCTCCAAAATTCAGAACCACGAGAAAGACCCTGTCGATGCCGTCCATCTCTCTGGTGTACACGACGAAGTGGCTGTCGGTGCTCAGGTAGCAGAACCAGCCCCTGCTGAGGAGCAGCTCATTGGCACGAAGGAGACTTAACTCTTGATAGAACGTCAGTGCTGATCCGGGCTGAGTCTGTTGGACCTTTAAAAAAAACATATTTAAAGGCCATTAAGATAAATGTTTGATTCTTCTTAGAGTTTTTAAAAAACATTTCTATTATCAGATAAGAAAGTTTCCAAAAAAACTTGCTTCAGTTTTGCCCCTTATAATAATCACCAAATTATAAGTATTAAGAAGTAGGCCAGAGTAGTTTACTTCACTACTGGTAGAAATTATAAATGCAGGGTTTTACCTTGTCAGCATGTGCTACATCATAGCCGGCAATGATGTAGAGGCCAAATTTGACTTCACTTAACAAGTGTCCATGTCAGAGTTAATGGATATTTCACCTGCCTAAATAAAGCCCCAGCCTGGTCTGTTGTAACTGGCAGAAAAGCAGCCATGATGACCAGGGACTCCGGGAACCTCTGGGGAACTGGGGCTCCTGTGTCCCCTTGTGTAGCGTAATGTGTAGGTTGCCATAACCTCAGCTGCATAAAGTAATAGTGCTGTTTTTTAAACCATTAAAATAACATGTACGCTTATGAAAATTTGGATTTACTTATTATTAACAACATGCATAATTTAATGTCTTTTTCTTCATTTTTTAAACATTTCAAGCATCTTCTGTTTTTATATAACTTCATAAATGTCACTTTAATGGCATAATAATTCTGTTAAATGGTTATATTCCCTTCCATTTCAAAATTCAAGTTTCTAATATTTTCTTATATTCTTAATATCCCCTATATCTGGGTTATGTATTCAGGATGTAAGTGTCAGAAAGACACTGTGTCAGTACGGACACTCGATATGCGGTGCCAGATTCCCCGTCATAGCTGTCACCAAACCAGTGATGGGGTTCACTTGTGCTCTCCCCAGCGATGCTGACGGGCGGCTTTGGTGGTGGTTTGGGGGCAGGTGCCGAAAGTGTAGTCTTTAGTGAGTATCTAATGGATGTTTAAAATACGTTTACTCTCTGGTGACAGGTACAGAGGTATTTATGGTACATGTATATGGTATATGTATATGACTTGTCGGATTACTATTAACATTTTCCATAGCCTTAGACAATGCATGAAAAAGCCTACTTCTGTACCACTCACAGAAGAAGGGCCCAGTAAGTGTTAACTGCGGTTTTTGTCTACTTGATTTACCACTTTCTCGAAGTGTGTGGAAGTGTCTCTGTGATTGTGGACTTGTCGGTTTCTCTTTGTGTTTCTCAGAGTACTTGTTTTTATATATTTTGAAGTTATTGTTAGATGCATAGATTAATGATTTGTAGCGGAATGTTCTTTTATCAGTTTTTTACAATTTGCCTTTGTCTCGGTGCTTTTCATATTGAATTCTATTTTGTCTGCTATTAAATATTTCCACACATGCTTTTTTGTAACTTTGCTTTTTTTAGTAGGAAATGCATGTATACAGTATAAAACTCAACTATAAGGCGAATATGTAAATATACCAAATAAAAAGGTTTTCTTCAACACCCTTCCCTAGCTTCGCAGTGCCTCTGTCAGAGGTGGACACTGTTGCCGTTTGTATCCCCTTTCATTTGTGTCACAAAATGAGCCTGCCGCGCCTCTGCAAAGGTGCACACTCTCTGTCTTGCACAAGTGGCATCTTACTGAGCTGTGCTCTTTTACTATTTAGCACATGTTAGAGTCGGTCTCATGTCAGTGCACATGGAACCTCCCTCGTTCTTTTTAAAGTTGCATATTAGTCAACGGTGTAGATAAGCATAGTTGCACATGTGATTAAATTACATTTGAACCCTATCTAAGAATACAGATACCTATAGGGAATGAAATGACTCCATTGTGTAGATTAACCACAATCACACAGAGGATTAAGTTACATTTAAATCATATCTAAAGATACAGGTATCTGGGAATGAAATTTCTCGGTCTAAAGGGATTAATGCAGTTTTGGTTTTTGATGGCTACAGCCAGGAGGCAGCATTCTTTTCGTTAGCATTTGTCTTCACTTCAATGTCGGATTTTTAATCCCGTGCCCTTTTGTTTAAGTCTTCTATCAGATTGGCCTTATCTAATCAGAGAGTTTTATCTTCAATAAGTAAATTTAACGCATTTATATTCATGGCTACCACATGTTTAGACATAATCCTGTAGCCTAATTTTCTTTCATTTGTAATTGTACTTTTTTTTTTTGCTTTTTAGCTTTTTATTGGGTCTGTTGGTTATCTTAATGTAATTTTTGTCTCCTAATGTTCTTTGAAAATTATACAGCCATGTCTGTTCTTCTAATGGCTACTCCTAATATTCTAGTGGCAATTCTAAAATATATGTTAATATTTTATATCTCTTCTCTATCTGTGCTGTCCAGTGTGGTAGCCACGAGCTACTGAGCACCCCCCAGAACTGAGTTGCTAATTTCTTTAACAGTCCACAGTGTTGATGAAGTTTGCTGAACAACTTGATCACCATGGAAACAGAAAATAGTATAGGCAAAAAAAAGGGTGTGTTTTTGTAGAACAGCTACTTTGGGGAACTATTCATGTCTAGTTTCTCCAGGTACAGGAGCTTGCTCTCAAGCCTTCACTACCCTAGACTGACCCATCCTCTTCCTTCCTTTAAGGGGAAGAAAGGAGGAAAGGTAACTAGGCTTTGCTAACAGACCCCCGAAAAATTTCCTTAAAAATTCAGAGCTCCTAGTCCTTGTAGTGAGTAGTTGTATAGTCGGTATTTCTCACGGTACACTCTGTCCTAGCTTGTATGTTCACAAAAACGTGACTTGGAAACTGTCATGTTTCCAAGAGAAGTCTGTGTGATTGATTAAAGAGCATCAGTTAAGGTTTTAGACTCATCTCCCGTTGCTAGAGTCTGCGTCCCATTCTCACGGGCACTTACATCAACATTCACGGTGCCGTAGTCGGAGCCGGTGGGCAGCCAGCTGTGGCTGCCTTCAGAGAAGCCAGCATTGGAGCTATTGTCCCACTGCATTGGCGACTTGGAGAGAAGAGTGGTCTGTGTCGAAGGACCATGCAGAGAACACAGCAGTCTGGTTATTAAATGAGTTGTAATTTGGCCATAATTTGCTACATAATGATTTAATTACCTGCATTTCTTAGTAGTACTTGTATCATTAGCATTCACAATGAAAAGATCTTAACATAACCAGTTCCACACTTTAAACTGGAAAATAGTTAATGGTGTCTTGGGTTTGAATAGACAATACTAACTGAACTTTGAGACATGCTTGGACTCTGCTGCTTTTCCCTAAAAATGGGCAATGTAGGATTTCAAAATGTGCCATTACTGCTCTTCTACTCGGACGCAGTGCCAACGCTGCCATGCGTGCAGCCGTGCACAGCGAGCCCGAGGTCTGCCCTCGTTCCCAGCCTGGCCATCGTGCAGGAGCACACACACAGACTTAGGAGCTGAAATAGAAAGGGTTCCCTCTGACCAAGTATTAGGGAACTTGGATCTCGTACAAGTAAAGCTAATAACACACATCACAGGTTCAAGATTATTCACCTACTCAAAACACAATTATGAGAGTCGAAGCCTCAAACAAAAACAAAATGTAAATAACCCAACACGTCTGAGGCTGTGTCTGAGTTGCTTCTGTTGAAATGAGAAGAATACTTGTGCTGTGCTCAGGGGGGATGTAGCAATAGAGACAAACACCGTAAATAAATGTTTCTGGACATGGAGAGGGCATGGATCATACTTCAGACTCAAAACTGGTTCTCAAATTTGTTTTTGTTTAAAGATACTAGTTTTAGAGAGGGGACAGGAGGGAGAGAAACACCGATATGTGGTTGCCTCTTGTCCACCCCCTACTGGGGACCTGGCCCACAACCCAGGCAGTGCTCTTGAGTGGGAATCCAACCGGCGACCCTTTGGTTCCCAAGCCGGCACCCAATGCACTGAGCCACGCCAGCCAGGGCTGGTTCTCAGATTTTAGTGTGCCTAAGAATCAGCTGGGAAACGTCCTTAAAATATGGATCCCCAGCCCTGCCCAGGAAGCCTTTTGGGTTAGAGCATCATCTCAATTCACCGAGGTTGTGGTTTTGACCCTTGGTCGGGGCACATACGAGAATCAACCAATGAATGCATAAGTAAGTAGAACAACAAATCACTGTTTCTTTCCCCCGCTTCCCCTTCTGTCTCTCTAAAATCAATTTAAAAATAAAATGTAGATTCCTGTGCTCTACACAAGAAATTCAGTTGTGTCTCATTTTTCCATTTATTCTTAACAGAGGGGAAGGGAGGAAGAAAGACAGGAAGAGAAACACCCCCAGCCAGGTGCCCAGCCTGCAACCCAGGCATGTGCCCTGACCGGGAATCCCACCCAGTGACCTTTTGGTTTGCCTGAGGACGCCCAACCCTCTGAGCCACACCGGCAGGGCTGTGCACAGGCTCCCCGGCCAAGAAGGCTGAGGATTCTTACTGTCTTAACAGTTAGAAAGAAAGGCAAAATAACCATGATTTTTAGTTGTAGAACAGAAAATAGTAAATCATCTGTTTTGGCAAGAATGAGTATATGGTATAGTGCATGGTTAAGTTATATTAACTTACAACATCATAGCTTTCGTTGAGATTTGTTGCTAAAATATCCCCCATTCCTATTTCTTCTCCGTAGTAAGTGATGGGGGTTCCGGGAAGGGTCAAAACCAGCATGTTCATGGCGTTGACGTACTCTTTCCCCAGACGAGAAATCAGCCGGGCTCTGTCTGGGCCACCGGTCTAAAAGGCACGGGTTTTTAAGAATGCAATTCTACACAGTTTTCCAGAAGATTTACCATTTCACAAGAAGTTCATCAGGCGAAGAGCAAGGTTGTTACCATGGAGACATTGGTGTCTGCAACCCCGGGGGTTGAGTCCCAGTCCCGTTACTGGCTGCATAAATGGACAATTTACTGTCTTGGCCACTATGGTCAAAATAATTTACTTCATCACGATGGTACTGCAAATCCGATGAGGTATATGAGGGTACATATTAATGTGTGCACATGTTCAGACAAGAATATTTAACAGAAGAGGGAACAACTGTCTCCCATAGAGAGCAGGACAAGGACAGATCAGAACAGGTGGAAGAGAGGGGCTGGTAGAAAAACGGCCGATGTCTGTGACTTGAGAACTATTCAAAACAAACATTAAAAGATAAATCAACTCTTACCGAGAAGTTTACGTAGCCATGTAGAAATTTTTTGTCAAGTTTTCTATTTTTAAGTATGGTATTTTCTATGTTTAATGGTCCAGTTACATATTGTAACAGTCCTTATTTAAGAGTCCATTCAAACTGCCTCACAGCTCTCTCCATATACGGCAGGCAGCTCCTCACAGGCACTTTGCTGCTTGAAAAGTACTTTCACACCTATGTTAGGTCTGCTCTCCCCTCTCCACCGCAGTGCTGCCAAGTATCGGCTCCATTTGACACATGATGAAACTGGGAACCTGCATCGTTTGTTCAAGTCAGGGAAGGCGGCAGAGCCAGCCTTTGCACCCGAGTCTGGGAGCAGGAACTCAGTTGCTACAATGCAGGAAAAGGGTGGCTCCTCTTTTCCCCACTTAGATGGACTAAAATTATCCTTACAATGTCCTCTTCTGGCCTTTGTAAAGTGTTTTTCTATTTTTTAATCCTCACCCAAGGACATGTTTATTGATTTTTAGAGAGAGAGGATTGGGAGAGCGGAACAGCCACTGGCCGCCTGCCACACATGCCCATCCGGGAGATCGGCCCTCAGAAGTGCACAGAATGACAGTCTATCCCATTGGGTCACCCAACCAGGGCATTGTTTTCTATTTTTCTGGACAGAAAAATTTGGTCAAGTTTTGCCTCCACTTACTCTTTCCATTATCTTAAAAGCACCTGACAAGAAACCCTGGGATTTTTGAGCCTTCTGGACTTCGAATAGCCACCCTGCCCCTGCCAGAACTGTTCGTACAGGTGCGTCATGGCCACGGACAGAGATCAGGGCTGCCCGCGGGCTGAGGCCCCGGCCCCTGGCATCCCCAAGACTTGCAGTAGGTGAGAAACAAGTGCTGAAAGCACGGGTATGATCTGGGGCACTTGCGGAACAGAGCACCAAGGACCTCTAAAAATCCCCACCATAGAAGGAGAATGCTGGCAAAAACCAAAAAGCCACTCTTTTAGAACTCTAGAAATTAGCTAGAGGCTTACAGCAATCTAAGGAGTATTTACTCAAGTAAAACAGCTGGATCTCAGAACAGCAAGCTATGTGTCATTTTAGCTTGCCCCGATTTCATGCCCCTCCCCTGAGATCTGCGATAGCCTTGCGAACCAGCCGACTTGAAACTATAGTTAGTATCTGTGACAGAATAGGCAGAGTTCACCAAAGGATCTGTGGAGGGAGAACGGTCACTGTCTGAACACTAGCAGCTCAGATTTGGGGAGGGGGGGATCCCTTTATCTGATATGATTCGAGCTGGTTTTGCATATAACCCCATCTCCAGAGCATTTGCTGAAAACAGCCAGCAGCAGTTAACATCACACCTGGTTGGGGTGGGCAAACCAATTGGGGACAAACAGACTGCCCAAGAAACCTGAAGGCCATTGAGTGAGATGCCCATAAGGGGCTCCGGCCTGTTCCGGGAAATCCTGAACGTTACACCGGCAGAGCAGGGCAGAATGTTCCCGGGGCAGAGCAGGTGCCCAGGGAAGACCTGAGACTGGCTGTTTCAAGGCATTTAAGGAATAAGCCAATCATTAGGAGGATTAATCAAACAAAGTCACTCAAGAAATACCAACAAACATGAAGGAGGGGCAAATGTGAATTCCAGAATTTCCACATGACATTTTTAAAAATATCCAGTTTTCAAAACAACCACCAAAAGACTGTAAGGAAGAGTACAAAGAAACAGGAGAGGAAGGCCCATACGTAAGGGGGGAAGCATTCAACAGAAAATGGGGTGGAGAAACCCCAAATGCTGCACTTACTAGACAAAGACTTTAAATCATCTATTACACATATATTCAAAGAACTAGACTAGAAAGAATTTTTTAAAAGGTACGATGAACAATGTCTCATCAAACAGCTACTATCAATGAAGAGAAGTCATGAAAAAGAACCCAGGAGGAATTTCAGTGGAACAACACTGAGCAGTGAAAAGCGCAGTGGGGTGCTGAGCAGATTTGGAGTGGTGGAGGGACGAGCAAAATGTAAGACAGACCAACTGAGACGACAGAACCAGAAGGAAGAGAATGAAGACAAATGAGAGTAACCTGGTCAGAAGCCGGGACAAGCCTCTCTCACAAACAATCACCCAATAAGGGAAAGGTGAAGGTCACTGAGAGACAGACATCCTTCCGTTCAGAGGTGACTATTCCATAGACTCATTGGCACCAGATGCTCTGAGCCGGGCACGGGCCCTTACCATCCAGTTGGGCCACTTCCCTTCCGGCATGTGCTCCATCCAGGATGTGATGGTCTCAAACACACTGTTCCCCGAGGGACTGTCAAGCCTAGTGAGGTAATCGTTGAAGGGAAAGTCTGCTTCTTGGATGAAAGACAACCCGTAGTATATCATGGTGTTGTCAATGCTGTCCCCATAGGCTTCGGTCCCCATGAACCTGTAAGAATAAGGAGGGGGCAGTGTCTCCAGGGCCTGGGGAAGCGCTTAATTCTGATTAACAAGCTGTAGGAGGTGGATGCGCACTATGAACCATATCAGGCTGGGACTCACTGGAAAGCAGAGTCAGGCCAGATGACCAAGAAATGACATGTTGGGTCACCTTGACAACTTCTCATTGTAACAAATCCGCAAAACTAGCCTAATACTAAGACCATGTCTAACAGTTAAATAGTTGGATCTCGATCAGTGTTCTTTCTAAATCTAATAACTCAGTGGCTTCCAGGAAGACTAGCAATTCTCATCACCCCAGTTAGAATTTTCAATATATGCCTGCATATAAGTAAAATGGGTTTTCCCCCAAAAAGAACTTCACCTTGTATTTGAACCCTTGTGAAGTCTCACTTTAAAGGGGGCGCACTTAGTTATTAAAAACCAAGTACTCTTCAGGGAAGACACATCCGCCTGAATGGCCCTCGTCAGTGCTGGTGTTCATGGTTTGAGACACCACGTTAATGAGCGCGCCTGGAGCCCCGCGTCTCTGATCCCTCCCCTCTGCTATGACTGTGTGCGTGACCACGGCCGTGTGCTCAGTCTCCGCTTCCTCAGCTGCAAAGTGGAATGGTAATCAGAGGGCCTACTATAAGGAGGAGAAACTTCTTTAACTCCATTTCTATTGATCCTATTGGGTGATTATTCAAGCATGCAAGGGGTAAGTTTATTTTGTTTACTGCACATGCAAGACACTGTTCTAAATGCTTCATATACATCATCTCATGTAATCTCACAAGAGCCTTAGAAGGGTGTGGCTATCCCCTTTAAATTGCTGAGAAAACAGCCCCAAACCGTGCCTCCAGGCCCATCGGAGCCCACAGCTGCGCTCCTCGCCAACGGGATCCACTAACGGTTTAGCTGCAACATCTGGACTCGTACTGTACAAGGATGCTGACAGGTCAAGTAATAATGATGACTAGCATCTAGATAACATTATCTTTTAATTTTAAAAAGATACTGTGGTTATTCGCATTTTACAAAAGAGAAAACTGCAAATGAGTGAAGTCAAGCAACATGACTGAATCTACCAGGCCCTGGCCTTCCCAGGCTACAATACATTGGGATTACACAGGTCTGTTTAGTGATAACTTAAGTTTTAGTGATTCTTTAAGTTTTTCTGGGGTGGCACACAAACTTAAACCTCTTGCGAATGTTTGGATGTGAGGGCTGAACCGCGGCACCCGTGGAGAATGGGCATCTGCACCGTGGTTACCTGTATCTCCCAGGCTCCGTGCTGTGTTGGTCCATTGTCTGCCGGAAGCTCCGGACGATGTCGTGCATCCCCACCTGCGTGGTGGTAAGGTCGTGGTACAGCTCCGAGTACTGTGTGACTGTGTCCTTTGAAAACAGGATAGCACGGTTACCAACACTGCCAATGACCGATGCCCACAGCTGGCTGCTGTGGCTACAGACCATGTCTTCAGAGTTCTCAAGCCAAGACACGTGGTCAGAGAAGGTCCTGGCATGCTCAGTGCTTAAGGGGTCTGGTGATGGAGAACGTTCCTGATTGTTAGTATGTCACCTGGTGCTTAAATTATTAACCATAAATCTAGTAAACAAATTCTACTGGACATGCAAACATTGAAAACAGGCAAAATTCTCCTCCTAAACGTTTAGTTGTCCTCAATGCTCCAGACACTTTCAAAGGCAAGCAAAACAAATAACCTAAATGAGTATAGAGCTCACCATTTTATCTACACCCACACTTTATCTACTCACAAATTATTAATATCATACATTTAAACTTGGTTTTTTTAACCACTTTTTTATTTCCACTGTTATACTCCCCCAAGGCTCTGATGACTGTCCCTGACACTCGTGCCTTCCGAGGGTCACAGTGACCTCGAGTCCACAGAGATGCCATACCTTCCAACACAGGCCCTGGCCGTGAGGCCCGGGATGGCAGGCTGGACGGCCCGAACCTGAGCCGCCAACCACTCAGTGGACCCTGTTTTTTTCAACCAGTGAACTTCCAAGTGAATTTTCTGGAATCTTAGCTCTCTTCCCGAAATTACGTATTTTTTAAGTTGTTCTTGGGTGGCACACAAATCCCATGGCTCTGACCATTTGTCAAGACTGGAAATGTATGCCTTTCTTATGACATCTCATTATGAAATAGCAAGGTTGTTTTGTGATTTCTCCCCAAGAATAAGCGCTTCTCTTCAGGACAACTAATGCATCACCTTTTTCCCCCTTTTTTGTTGAAAATAATGTGCAAAAAAATGACTTAATCATAATGTGCCCTCAGGATGTGCTCCCATAATTAGCCCATACAGGGCCAACTCCCCTGAAGTTGACTGGCTTGTTTTAATGAAGTCATAAGTACTCATAAATCTGTACTTGGGACAAAAGCTTAGAAGCTTGATAATGAAGTCGATAACCAGACGAATCTCATTTTACTTGCTTATCTTTATACAAAGGGCATCACACAATATATAATAGTTTTAGATTTTTTTTTGCTACACATTACAAATATCTCAGACTAAAAAAGAAAGTGCTCTGCTGACATTTTCAGAAAAAGAAAAAAATGTCTAAAACCAAACTTTACCGGGATTTGGGTCTTATTCACTTGGGCCTCGTCTCTCAGATGTTTTGCTTCTAGAAGGAATTTAACGGCCTCAAAACTGAAGCCATCGACACCCTTTTCAAGCCAGAACTGTATAATTTCCTAAAATGAAGAAGCAAAATACTTGGTTACATTAGCTACTCATTATCACAATGCTTCATAAAGATTCTGTCTGTTAATAAAACAAACATCTCCACATACAAAACATGCACAGCCCTCACAGTGTATATTTATCCATTTAGCATAGTAGTGCTTCCGTATAATAAACTCAATAATTGCATTTATGGATTCCCATGCTTCTCTCATATTTGAATTCAGAATGTTACATTTGTAACTCATGTTATAAGCATGTTCCCAAAGTTTAAAGAAGCCATTCAAAATGAAAGATAGGACTCAGGAGAAACTGGGAACCATATCCTCCTCCTCGTGCCAGTTCCTTCAAGGTCACTCCACACAGAGAGAAGATAAACAATTAAGTGCCCAGTCATAAAAGGCCCTTGCACCACACTGAGAGATGCTTGAAGGGAAACCTGCAGCTTCATTTCTGCTTCCCTTGCCTTGGACACTCTGCCTGGTACCTAGTGAACCAGTCATGGAATAAAAGAAGGCAGTATAGCGAGCCGGAATGGCTTGAATGTGGTATGATCCCGTTGGGGCACCAAAGAAGTGCAGCACACTCCCTGGCGTGTCTACAAAACTGCTGGGGACACGTGACGGGTCACCTAACGATGCAGGGCAGAGCACAGCTCAACCTCAGCAGAGGAGAGTTCTCTGTCTGCAGGGCTGTTGGAGCTCCAGGGTGATCTGGTTTACCACGGGTGAGCACTACCAGCAAAAGAAGAGCTAGTGTTTGAACTTGGCCGGTGGGATTTCATCAGGGCGTGAGAGGAGAAGAGCCTTCTGGACTGTCTGTGGGACAGCATGAACCCATCGTGGAGGGCAACTGACTCCAGCTGTCCTGTGTTGGGGAATTTGGGAGGGGTTAGGCCTTGAACAGCTGAGGGCGCGGGTCTCAGCTCCCACCCCACCCAGAGGCATCCCCTCTCAGCCTGGCCTAAGCCAGCACTGACCACAGCTACCCTCTGCAAAGGCACAGTGGCCCTCCCCACTCTGCTCTTCGCTCATCCCTCGCTGAATGGAAGGGTGTATGGGAAGGCATCACTTTAGAGCAGAGCCACCTGTAATTCAAAGTACTAGAGAGAAGTAGCCAATCTTCACCTATTGAGGGGAACCGATGAGGACTATCCCCAAAATCACTTGTTTGAAATGTTTCTTGTCTCTACATGTACATGTGGCACCTCTAAGACGCGGCAATTCAGGGGTCTCAAAAGTGTCAAGAGGCTAAATGCAAGAGTTTATACAGCTGAGGTCAATTCCTCAAAAGTGACATTTTTGAATGGCAAAGTTTGAAAAAAAAATTTCAAATCTAAGCAGGCTCTGCTGCTGGCAATCCTTACCATGGGCACACTGATGCAAATAACTTTAAGTCGGCACTACCCAGTGGAATTTTCTTTTGGGCACAAACCCCTAAAATTTGTCGTTACCAGAATGTTAACTTTTTACCAAAAGTATTCACTCAATACACATTCAAGTTCCAGCTCTGGGCCAGGCACTTAGCTCAGCCCTGGAACTACCAGCACGAGCAACATACAGCAGGCAGGTCTGGGGCTCCAGAGTTTTGCTAGGACCCCCAAGTAGACAATCAAATTGTAATGCAGAAATATTTCAATCAAAGCCAGAATAACACTTTAAAGGAGAGGAACAAAGTAATACAAGAGGGTGAAACACTAGAATCTGCCCTGAAGGTCAGCACCACAGGATGGCAAGAAGTGAGGGCAAATGGTTAGAGATTGAGCTAGAAAAGTCCACAGATATCAAGGCACCTCACTTGTAGAACAGGATCTGGGTGGGTTTAGGGCCCAAGCATAAGCACCCCTCACTTGGATGAGCCCCTTCCTACCCAGCTTCTATGCTGCTCCTGAACACTCATTTTTTTCATACCTGATTTTACAGTCTTTATTTTAAGAAAACCCCCAATTTTTACAAGCTTTAGACCCCACACAGCCAGGAATTTTTATGTGGAGCATGAAACCCACAGGTCTGTTCTTACTAGTATCTTTACTTCTTGCCAAATATATTCATTCACTAAATATTTGAGTTCCAACTCCAGGCCAGGCACTCAGGGAAGTCCTGGAACTACAACCACGAGCTACACACAGGTGGCGCTGTTTGCAACAGAGGGAACAGTGGAAGAGGGGACCAGGGTGGGACAAGCAGCTGTACGGGGCGGGCAAACGGCCCCCTGGAAAAACATTCTACACCATGATGTTGGAAACACAAAGCTTCTGACCACTGATTTCCTGAAATAAATCTCCCAGTTTTCTTCTTGGAGTCCTCACTCACTTAGGGAGGGGTCCTCGGCCTCGTCAATGTCTGACCCGACACCACAGGATGAGAAATGGGTACCCCAGCAGAAGCCCACGGCCCAGGCGGGGGTTTTCAACTCCAGTCCAGTAAGAGATACTCTCATTGTTTGAGGAAGCAGAACGGCAGAGGCTGGTGCTTATTTTTCAGTGTCATTTTAAATGCTCTGAGGTTTTCACCCAGATAGTCCAAAATTTGCTTGTGAAAAATATTTGCTTCATGCTATTATTTATGCTCTCTATCAGGAGAGAAAAGAGAGCCCCATTTTAATCATTAATTCTCCCTTTACACCTGTAAAGCTCTCTCCTTTACACCAGTGTTGTGGGGCCAGGTGTGGAAGTGGGCCCAGAGCCTGGTTCCACCAGGACTGGATGACCCATGCAAGCACCACAGGACTCTGGGGACCGGGCACTGCTCCCGCGATTCCTGTCTCCCAGGCCGTCACACAGTTCTGGTTCATTCTTTTCTGCTTAAGCAACTTCCCGCTGTGAGTAAACAAGGGGTTATTTCAACATTACTGGTATTCAAACTGACGACACCTGGAGGCAAACCTTTTAAGATGCCCAGTTACTGGGCCTGGTTACCTAAAAAGCCAAGTTTGGGAAAGAGAAGCTCTGCTCTCCCATGACAACCAGTACGACCCCGCTTCTGATAACAACATAAGCCCCACGTCGTCCATTGCAAGGAGTGAGGAAGCATTAGGATGCTTCAGAACTGCAGAAAGAAAACTCTATTCTCTGCACACAGGCAAAGGAAAGAAAACAGACCGTAGTGCTGCTCCGAAATCTTGGTCAAATTCTCCACTAAGCCCCACAGGAGCAGGGTATAGAGGAAGGATCCTGGCTCTGTGTGGGGGCGACTTCCCCCCGGTACTGTGGACACACGTGAATGAGTAAATCTGGCTGAGACAAGATGAGATCTGTTTAGGGAAGGAGGAGTGGGCTGTGGCCAGTTTCTCAGGGGAGACAAAGGCCAGCAGCAACCAGTTTCTCCAAGGAGAAAAAGGCCCCCGGAGCCTTTCTCTATAGCCTTTTATTAGGTTGTAATACACAGGAATAGAGGGCGGCAAGGATCAAACAGTAGATAACATTTCAAAGAGATCTGAGGGCTTAGTCTGAGTCAGTGTCTGTCAGGAACAGAGTTGCAGAAACTTTGGGAGACATACTCATTTCCTCTTGGACCCTTATCATATGAATGAAAGTACTCTGAGCAGAGCAGATTTCACAGGTTTATCAGCAAGTCTTTGTCATGCCAGATTTTTCCCCAGGACACACTCTAGCAAGGCAAGGAGTTGCACTTCTTCCCAACAGGTATTTAGGCTTAAGGGGATTAGAGTCAGGAAGCACTTCTCTCAGAGGACATGGGGACTCAGGCTATGTCAAAGCCGGTGGGTGGGTGGGGGGCATTGCTTTTTGTTGCAGCCCCCTGAGTCCTTCCATGAAGGCCTCCCAAGTGATGGAGTGTGGCTTAGGTTGCCCCCCGCTGTGAGTGAGGGGTCTTACCCGTCATTGACTTCCGACCAAGCTCTGGGGGCAGGGAGAGGAACTGAGGCAGCGTTTGCTACCAGAGACAGGCTTTGTCTCCTGCGGCTGGCATTCCAGAGGTCGTCTCTCACCCTTAGCCACTGGGGGTAGAGATACAATTTCTAAAACTAGGCAGACCGGTCTACAACAGCTCTGGAACCAGAACCCTCCATGTCCCGTCCTCTCTCCCCCACCGTCCAGCTGCAGGAGTGAGGGCACCAGCACAACCTCACTAAACCTTCAATAAAATGACACCAACCTTTAGGGTCTCCGTGAGGTGAATGAGGCATTGCTGTTAGGGTCAATCAACATTTCAGTCTTTAAGTCCCCCATCTCCCCCGTGGTTGACGCTGCAGACTAACCGGGTCTTCCACGAACACGCCCCTTCCTGCCGGACACCCCGCCCCGGGGTGGCCACTCCTCCTCTGCACACTCCGCAGGCTTTTGGGCTCCATCGTACACCTTCTCTTCACGTCACTTCGCAGCAGTATTTACTCATTTATCTGTCCACTTATTGATGCTTTAACAAGTACTTATATGATAGGGACTACATGTCCCAAGGGCTCTACCAAGGTTAAACCCTTTCATCCCCAAACAACCTGTGAGGCATGGACTATTATTGTTCCTATTTTACCAAAGAGGGAACTGAAGCACAGGGAGATGACACACCCTGACCAAGGTCACAGAGTAAGTGGCGGCACCAGAACTGGAACCCCACGGCACCCTTACCTACTGACTGGAGCAGTGCACCAACACCTGGCCTTCATTCCCACAAAACAGCAATCAGCTGGAGCTAAGCTGCAGCTGACCCCGCGCAGCTCAGCCTGCCCAGCTGCCCCACTGATGAGCCCAGCTCTCTCCTGACCTCCCCAGGCACTGACCACGCACCGACAAGTCCCAGAGTTGGATCTCTAGACCGGATGCGTCCCTGAGCTCCACGTCCCACGCTCACTCTCCGTGGAACACTCGGATGTCTCAGAGAGAGCTCAAATCCGCAGAACTAGGCCATCCCCCTCCAGGGTCCGCGCCTCCCGTCTAAGGAAACCACACCATCACCCAGTCAGCATTCAAATCCCAGACCTGGGAGGCACGCCAAGCCCTAAGTCCTGGTGATTTCTCTGTGACCCCACGCCACTTCCCGGGTCCAAAGCCCCA